AGGAGCTCCCTCCCGCTGCAGCCAGTCAGGTCCAGTTCTAGGAACAGGGCCAGATCCCGAGAACTTGTGGGAACAAGCCCTGTGGAGCTTCCTCTTCCCTCCCTCTTCTGGGTCCTCCCATTCCCCTGACTGCACGCCCTGCCCAGACCCTGGGCTCTGTGGGCCAGGGCTGCTGGAGGATGCCAGGTGGTAGAGGTAGACTGAATTAGTGGGGGTTTAGGAACACTTGGAAGCAAAGGCCATTGTCCCTGTCCTTCAGTCTTCTTTCTGTGGACTTTTTTTTCCCCTCACAGCAGTGATTTTATTAAATTAGTTGCATTGTAAAACATTGCAGATGTCATAATTGTGAACATAACGATTTACCAAGTGCAGTTAACTGGTGCAGTTTGCTGAGCATGTTTTATAAAGGAAAGGAAATGGCAGAGCCCTGTTGTTTCAGTGCAGCCTAGAAGGACAGAAATTTGCTTCTTAGACACTTGAATCAGGCAGGTAAAATCAGGTAGAATTTCCCTCCCCATCCTGAAGGTCTCTGGGAGAAATAGTCTGATGGGTTAAAAAGCAGACAGCCTATGTACTCAGCAGGTTGGACACCTTGTACTGCAGTGATGGAGGGGTTTATCTTCTTCAGCCTTAAAGTTGGAGGGTTTTAGTCATTTAATTTTAAATAGCTTCACTCTGAGATAAGCAGTCTCCTTCACAGTGTGTTTTTATGTTATTATTTTATTTTTTTATTTGGTACCGGGGATTGAACTCAGAACCTTGTGCTTGTGAGGCAGGCATGGGGCCCCTGAGCCAAATCCCCGGCCCTGCCAGTGTATTTTTGGTATCACTGTACTCAGTGCTGAGACACAGCAATTTGAGCCCGAGATGCACGCCGCACACCCATGCTGCAGACTGCCTTTCCTGACAAGGAGGTGAGGTTAAGGCTGTGCTCCTGGATGGCGGTGGGAAACGCTACACAGGTTTTTGTCACGTTGCCATCTTTGTGCCCAATTTGGTGACTGCTGCTGTGGAACAATGACAGAATCATTGGATTTGTTTTTGAACTATGATTTAGTAGCCGTTGAGGTCTCTGATTTAACCCCTTGATGGCAAGATCCAAGATCCAAGTATGTCAGCAACCCGAGTGTCAGGGGCTAAATAACCAGCACAAAAGATACTGTACTTCTGATGGGAGCATGTGGCAGAACTGAAAGAACGGAAGCCGTGCTGCATGTTGCAGGGATTGTGGGAAACAGAAGACACCGGGATATGATAAAATGTCCCAAGAAGTCTTCATAGTCCTCTCCATATGCTCATCATAACTCCCAGTACCTACCGGATAGTCTTTCCTGGTGGCCTGGAATCCCCATCCAGCAATCATGCCTTTCTTTCTGGCTTGGCTTTGTTTCATGTTCACCCTGCAGAGCACAGTTAATGAATTGCTAGTTGTTTCCAAGTCATCAGTTTCCAGTGAAGTACACACAGCTAAGGCTTTTCAGAAAAACTGGTGTCACATACTGTAGTGACTTTTCATTTTATGTAATTTTATCTTTTCATAACTTTCCAAACCGTGAAGTCATCTCTTGAAGGTAGAATCAGAGCATTTATTCTGTAAGCAGTATTATTAGCACTAAGTTTCTTTTGGTAACTCAAAGTCTGACTCTTCTGTGATTTCTTCTTTTTTTTTTTTGGTACCGGGGATTGAACTTGGGTCCTTGTGCTTGTGAGGCAGGCGGCGGAATCACTGAGCTAAATCCCTGGCCCACTTCTGTGATTTCTATAGCTGCAGATTACTTGCTAATCATTCTTCTGGTGTTCGCACTTCAGGTTCTTCTGACTCTATAATTTCTTCTTGCCTTCTGTTCCTGAAATTGCCTATCTTCTCCGCTGTTTTTTTCTTTCCTCAAATTTTTATTTCTGCTTCCTCCTTTTTCTGTCATCGTTGTCATCCCAGTTATCCGGTGCTGCTGCCCCACCTTCTGTACCAGGTCTTTGGAGCACGCATCCTCATCCCAGGCCATCCCAGGCTGGTGGTGGTGGTGGGGCTGTGAAGAGTCAGTGAGTTCTGCGGAGCTTCCTGACTGATCACAAGGATCCTTAGGTGCCTGAGGCTTCGGGCTGGGGGTGTGCTCAGGGGTGAAGAGCTTGCCTAACGTGAGTGATGGCTGGGTTCCATCCCTAGTGCCACAAAAGCAATACAGCAAAACAGTTGTGGCCGGGGACAGTGCCTGGCACTAAGTGCCATCGTTGCCACCTCATCCCTAGATGTACACACGCTGCCGCAGGGACTTGCTTCAGCCTTGCTTTGTAAACGCACCTGGCCTTTCTTGACAGGTGAAACCGGAGACACCAGGAACATGCACTGTGTTCCCGCACCCTGCCTGCTCAGGACGGGCCCTGCGTGTTGGAAGTTTTCTGTGTCTGGGCAGATGCGGGACCACTGCTATGGCAGGGGGGCCATGTTTATCTCTGATGACCTGTAGAGGGACTTGAGGGAGGAGGAGCCTGGCTGGGAGGCCTGGGCAGCCAGAAGCCACACTGGGCAGACCTGGGCCATGGCCTGGGGTGCAGGCTCCATGCCCTCCCTGGGGAGACCATGCTCCCAGCCCTCTGACCCTCCTTGACTAGAGCACCTTTTCTTTGAGACGTGTCAGGAGCTTTCTTGGACTGTGTGGGTGCCTTTTCCCAGGCCAGGAGGGAGGCCAAACTGCTGACAGTGGCTTCAGGCCCATTTTTCTCCAGGACACCACTGGAGCCACGTGGCAAGCCTCTCAGAACGTGGTGGGGGCTCCAGGACACAGAGGTGGGCACCTCACGGAGGGGAGGGGACCATGGCTCTGGGGTCTCATGAGGACTGCGCATCCCAGCTGAGTTGTCTGTCCTCCTGAAATTTCCCAGGTGCCACCTGGTTGGGGTGAAGGCTGAGCGGGCTAGGGGCTCTGAGAATTGAATTGTGCCACTCTATTTTGGGTTCACCTGAGAACAGGAGATGGTGAGGCCAAGGTCATGGTTGCTGGCCGACCGGGCTTGTTTACACCACCGACGCTGCTTGCCGTGCAGAGCCTGTCTGCCCTGTGGCTGGCAGCACCTTGGCTTGGCTCTAGGCCTGTCCTGAGGGACGTGCGGGCCACAGAAGGAGCCTGAGGCCTCTGTGGAAGGTTCCTTTGGTGATTTGCGTAATAGCACGTTGTTGCCAAGCTCTGCCTGGGAGCCTCAAAGCAGCCCAAGAACAGTTTGGGCAGAGCATTTGGGGGCGTCCGGGTAGAACTGGAGAGTGTGGGGGACACAACTCTGCCTGTGAGGGGCTTGGCATGGCTGTGGCACCTGCTCCTTGTGGCAGGGCTTTGTGGCCTTGTCTTTAGGCTTGCCCTAGGCAGAGAAGAATCGAGACTCAGACATTGGCAAAGGTTGTCCCGGTGTGAAGGTCAACGTTTTCTGTTATCATTTATTTTGCTCAGTCAAATAGTGCGGTGGGTATGGTGAGGTGGGCGGGTGTTGGGGAGTTAATGTTTAGCCAGGGCCTTGGCCAGGCTCCCGCTTTGTTCCCGGTGCCCTCTGGTGCTGGCAGCGGAAGTGTCCCCCGGGCTCTGGTCCCTCTGTCCCCCCACAGCAGGATGCCCTTGCCGGGTGTGTTGTCACACCTGAGGGCATTCCCACAAGCTCACTGCTTCCTGAGGGGGCCAGTGCTTGGCTTCCTTGCGCCATGCTGTCAGTGCCCTGAGCCTTTTGGGGTGAGGCTGGCTGAAAATGAGAGGTGCTGTGTGTGTACCATACACAGAGTCTAAAGACTGACTGCACCTGCATAACCGACTTGAGCAGGCTTAGTGCTGATATTAAGTGCTTAGATACTAAGTGCTGATACTGTTGCTTAGAGCAGATACGTTCCCAGCAAGGACCTGTGCCTGGCCTTAGTGCAAGCACTTTCATTCCCGCGCTCAGTCGTCCTGACCTGGAGCCAGAGCTGTGCTTACAGCAGGCAGTTTGGGGCTGCACTGCCACCTATTGGCGGGTGACATGAATTGCAAAGACGTGTTTTAGAATTGAATTACCTTCTAATTTTAAAAATTTATTTTCCGTGAGGTAAATTTTTCAGTAAGTCAGTATTTTTCTTACAAGTAGTGTATAATCATTGTAGAAAATTTGGAAAGACACAGATAGAAATTTCCTTGCCCCTAAACGGAGTGTGCAGTGTTACTTCCTTCCCTTGGGTGTGGGGCTCCGGACCCTGGGGCGTGGGTATCTTCCTTCCTGCTGCGGTCGGCACGCACATCCCACTCCTCTTCAGCTTGCTAGAAGTGAGGTTAAAGGAAGACACTGGCCCTGTGCGAGGCTCCCTGGCTTTCTTGGTGGCTTAGTGGTACCTGCTGACCTCCCGGCGGGAGGCTTTACTAAACAGTTGGGATCCTCCAAGGGTTGGTTTTGGACAAAGGAGGTATTAGTGAATTTTGATTTACAAGGCCATGAATGGAGGTGGGGCCGCTTAAGGCTCAGTTCCTCAGACCACCCTCAGGGCTGGCAGCGTGGAGTGTGAGGCGGGGCTGCAGGCTCTGCTTGTGTGTCCCATGGGCTTGGATGGGCACGCCATGTTTTGCTTTTGCAAGTGTTCCTAACGAGTCCTGCATCCCTGGGGCTCTGTACGCAGACTTGAGGTGGGAGGTTGTGCTCCCTCGGGGGTGCCCTGTGTTGTCAGGGTGTCCTTGGCCCGCAGACCATGTTTGGTCCTTCTCCCCATGTGTGTTCCCCCGCCAGTGTGTCCCCAGCACAGGTGGCTCTGGGGGTCCGCTAGTGTGCCCGTGAGACTGCAGGTTGTCAAAGGTGATGCTGGAAGGGTGGGGATGCCGGGACTTTTCCGCCAGAAACCCTTGCTTGATGTTCTCCGAAACCACCGTTGTGTTGCTCCCATCTCCCGGCTCTTTGCAGCGCTGGGACGCCAGCAGAGGTCCCTGTGAGCTGCCCTGGGCCTGGCAGGGGCGGGGCGCCCGTGAGAGTGCCGAGTGCCCGTACACTTCTCCTTGCAGGTCTGGCTGTGGGTCTGGGCTTTGGGGCCCTGGCTGAGGTTGCCAAGAAGAGTCTGCGCCCTGAGAACTCCACAGGTGAGCTGGGCCCTGCTGAGAGGTTTGGGGGACCCTGGAGGGCTGGGCCTGCCAGCCCCGGGGTCACCTGTGCTTTAGGGCCTTGGGCCATCAGGGTCCCGCTCTGGGACTGTCAGCTCACTGCGGTGCCCCACCCTCTGACCTGTCCATGGGGACTTCCTGACCCCCACTGTCCCTGGTGCCACCTAAAGCCAAGCTCTCTTGGGGGCTGGGGGGTCTGCCCAAGCCCTAGACCATGGATGGCCCCTTGCCACCCACAGGGCTGTCCCTTCTGGGGACAGGACACGGGCCCCATCCCCGCAGGCTGTGAGTCCTGGGGACATGGAGCACCTGGCATGTCCTTGGGAGGGGCTGCAAGCCAAGACTTTAGAGAGGTTGTCTTAGTGTCAGAGCTGTGGCACTCGGCTGCTCGGGAGCGGGTGGTGGCCTGGTCAGCCCGGTGCCCCTCCCACCCGGGGCTGGCTGTTCTTCCCACCTTGTCCAAGCAGAGCAGAGGCCAGGCTGGATCCAGGCTATGGGTGGTGTCCTCAGCCTGGGCCAGCGATGACCTGAGGCTCGGGGTAAAGGGCTCCAGTCCCTAGTCCTGCAGGGTGGGGTGGCCCTGCGCAGGCCCAGCAGCCCTGGCCCGGAGGACTTGCCAGCCGGCTGAGCCCTGCCCTTGGAGAATGTCTCTGCCCTTGGAGAATGTCTCTGCCCTGGGGGCTTCTGCCTGGCCCAGGCCTGCCTCCTGCCTGTGGGGATTGCCAGCCCAGCCTGGCCAGGCTCCATCCTCACATCTCAGGGGCCCCCCCAGTCAGCCCGGCTTGCTCTGTATCCTCAGGAGGGAGACCGGACTCCTCCAGCCTGGCCAGGCTGCTCCTAGGTTCCCTCCCTCCTCTGCCTCTCCGAGGGTCCCAGGGCTGGGGAGGGAGAGGGGACACTCGAAGTACTGTTTCCCTCAGCTCTGGCGCTTTGCTGCTACCTGGGCCATCTGGGGCTCCTGGTTGATGCTACGGTGGGCTCAGCATTGTCCCCTGTGCGGGGCCCACCCAGCACCTTCCCAGTGCCGGCTCTGCCTCGAGGGGCCCAGCCATGAGCCTCCCTTTCCTGCACACCTGGTCCCACTGAGGCTCTACTGTATCCTGAGGCCTTCCAGCCTTACACCCCAAGGCAGCCTGCCACTCAGGCGCATGGTACATGGCAGTGGTAGGGCTGCTTCTCCCATTCTCTTGCTTGGGACTGGGCACAGCCCGTGCAGAGCACGTGTCCAGTACTTAGGCCTTGTGTCCCCAAGCGTTTCAGTCCTAACCTTAAGAATGATCTCGCCAGGTGCTCTGGCCATCCAGACCCTTGGTGATACGAGTGGATCAGGTGCCAGGCTCTGCGGAGTCCTTCACATTGAACTGGACTCAGGACACAGGGCAAGAGAGGCCTCAAATGTCACCAGGGCTGGATGCCCAGCCAGAGGGGTGCAGGGGACTCAGGGCAGAGGAACCCGGCACCCAGGCCCCTACTGGGCCTCTCCCCATCTCCGCACAGGGTGGATGCCATGTTTAGGCAGAGAGGGCCACGTCTCCTGGTCACACTGCTGGCTGGTGGCAGGGTTCACTTGACCTCTTGCAGCTCCTTGGAGACATCATGGCACCTTGCCACCTCCCAGTGTACCAGGCAAAGGTCCCCTGCAGCCTGGGTCACTGCATGGCTAGCTGGCTGCACTGAGCTTCTGGTCTCGGGGCAGAGGGCTGCGTTTGTCCTTGACCCTGAAGGACAGCGCAGAGGTGCAGAGGACAATTGTCCTGCACAGTTGGTGGCTGAAGACTGGCAGTCCTCACTGGGCACTGTTGGCTGGGCTCCTTCAGGTCATCCTCCCAGTGCTGCCCCTGCCTGCAGCTTCATGGGGACCTTGTGTCCCCGGGGCTGACACAGAGGAGAGACCTTGTGTGTGTGCGTGCGTGCGTGCGTGCGTGCGTGTGTGTGTGTGTGTGTGTGAAGCACGGCGGGCCTCACCCAGCACTGGGAGGTGGGCATGGGACGAGGATTTGGGACTGCACTGCCACTCTTGGGGATAGGCAGGAGTCCATAGATGGTGCGTGCCACTCCTGGAGCCCCATAGAGCATGTGTCACCCTCCTGCCCCCAGGGAAGAAAGCCATGCTGGACTCCAGCCCCTTCCTGTCGGAGGCGAATGCAGAGCGTATTGTGCGCACGCTGTGCAAGGTGCGCGGGGCAGCGCTGAAGCTGGGCCAGATGCTGAGCATCCAGGGTGAGTGGCTGCAGCCCGTGGGCAGAGGAGGCCCTGGGTCACAGCCAGCAGCTGACTGGCACTCTCTGATTCCTGGTATTTGGGAAGCCTGGGTTTGTTGCGTGTCTCAACAGGTGGCGGGAGTTCATGCAGCCCGTCGTCTGCTTGTTGGGCACAGGAGTTGGCGCTGGGGCTGGGGCTGTGACCGTGGGGAGGGAGAGCCAGGTGGCAGTGAGGCCCCAGAGTGAGTGGTGCTGGGGGCCTTGGGCCTGTGCATGGCGCTCAGCAGGGAAGAGTGCGGAGCTGGTACCGAGCACAGTGTGCAGACTGCACTACACCGGCCAAGGCGGGGGTCAGTCCTTGGGGTCACCACCCAGCCTTCCGTAGGGCGCTCACCCGCCTCGGACTGGGAGGCACACCTGGCATCCTGCCACTGCTAGCGGTGCTGCTCCCAGGCCCTTGGGAGAGCACAAACCACACGGCCAGGACCTCCCGGGAGAGGGCGGCCTGGGAAGCGCGAGCAGAATCTCCTGGAGCAGGGGTGGCGAACCTGTGGCATGGGAGTGCACAGGGCTGATGGTATCCTAGAAAGCTCTGCAGGTTCGCCATCACTGCCCTAGAGTATGACTCCAGGTTGGGAGGAGCCCAGAGCATAGATCAGAGGGGAAACTAGTTCTCTGGAGGTGGTCAGGTTACAGGGAATTTAATCTTTTACTGTATCTCCCAGATTTCTTTGCAGTTGTGAACTTCCCCTGTTGAGTTTAAAAACCTCGTCTCTCAGGTCCCTGGGCTGAGTTGAGGGCTCCCCGCATGCCAGGTGGCCGAGTGACTCTGAGGGCGTCCCTGGCCAGCGCTCCTGGCCCTGGCCTCCCAGTGGGGTTGCTGCCCTGGGGCGGGGTGTGTTTGTCTCTGGACTTGTGGGCAGGCGTCCTAGGAGCAGGGTGGCCCAGAGTCCCCTCTAGAGTGGCCATCCACAGCCTCAGTGTGCCCGTGGTATACGGTGTAGGCTGAGGCAGTGCCCGTGGAGTGGCATTGGGCAGGTCTTAGGCCCTCTGCTCCCAGGCTCAGGAGGCCTCGTGCCCAGCGGTGGCCTTGTTCTCATTCTTCCCTGACTTGCGTGTGCCTTGCAGATGACGCATTCATCAACCCTCACCTGGCCAAGATCTTCGAGCGCGTGCGGCAGAGCGCCGACTTCATGCCGCTGAAGCAGATGACGGTGAGGGCCTGTGGGGGGCTGCTGGCTCCCTCCCTCAGAGGGGCAGAGCGGGCACCTCACCAGAGCTTCTCCCTCCAGAAGACGCTCAACAACGACCTGGGCCCCAGCTGGAGGGACAAGCTGGAGTACTTTGAGGAGCGTCCCTTTGCGGCTGCCTCCATCGGGCAGGTGCACTTGGCCCGCATGAAGGGCGGCCGCGAGGTGGCCATGAAGATCCAGGTGGGTGTCTGTGTGTGCCAGGGCCCTGCTGTCCCCTAGGGCAGGGCTGTGTCTCCTTGTCTTCCTGCCCTCAGCACCTGCCTGGGCCTGGACGCTCAGGCTGTGCTTGCTAACGGGGTGACTCTGGGGAGTGGGCCAGTCTTCCAGCAAGTGTGGTTCAGGATGGCCAGGGACAGGGACGGTGACTGCCTTTTGGACAATGGAGGGAGGGGCCCGGGTGGTGCCACTCTGGAGGAGGGTCGAGCGGGAGGCAGAGCAGGGCTGAGTTGGGTCAGGGCCTGGCTGTCCAAGGTGCGGGGTCTGATCGTGACACGGCTGGGGTGCCGCCAGGTGCTTGGGGGCTGGAGAGGGCCCTGCTTGTCTGCCTGGTGACTTCTGTCCCCCACAGTACCCTGGTGTGGCGCAGAGCATCAACAGTGATGTCAACAACCTCATGGCCGTGCTGAACATGAGCAACATGCTCCCAGAAGGTCTGGGGCAGGAGGGATGGCAGGGGCACGGGCTGTGCTGTGCGGATCTCGGGCCGCGCCCTGCGCCTGACGCCCTGCCCCTTCCCCAGGCCTGTTCCCGGAGCACCTGATCGATGTGCTGAGGCGGGAGCTGGCCCTCGAGTGTGACTACGCGCGGGAGGCCGCCTGCGCCAGGAGGTTCCGGTGTGCTCCTGCTCCTCGCTGCCCTGAGCCTTTTAGGTGGCCCTGGGGGGAGGCCCTCCAGCTGTAAAGGGGGGCCCGGGGCCCATCCCACCCCAGCGAGGGGGCCTCCACCTGGCGGTGTCGCCGTGGGGCAGAGACGAGGTGTGGCCTCCGCCCCTCCCAGGGACCTGCTGAGGGACCACCCCTTCTTCTACGTGCCCGAGATTGTGGATGAGCTCTGCAGCCCCCATGTGCTCACCACGGAGCTAGTGTCCGGCTTCCCCCTGGACCAGGCTGAGGGGCTGAGCCAGGAGGTTCGGAACGAGGTGGGTCTGAGCCACTGTCCCTGCCATGCTGGCCGTTGGTTACCTAGCTGCTACCTGGCGGGGGTCAGGTGGAAGCTGGGATTTGGGGGCCTCCGCAGCCCACTTCTGGTCACCAGGCAGCTGGCACTGCCTGACATCCCCCCCTCCGCCACCATCACAGATCTGCTACAATATCCTGGTCCTTTGTCTGAGGGAGCTGTTCGAGTTCCACTTCATGCAGACAGACCCCAACTGGTCCAACTTCTTCTACGACCCCCAGCAGCACAAGGTGAGCCGCTGGGCGAGGGCCGGTGACCCAGCCTGTGTTGTACGTGGGAAGTTAGCAGTGGGCGTGGGCTCTAGGAAGGACCCTGCAGAGATTGTTTCAGCGCCTACTTCAGTGCTGCAGGGCCAATCTCCTGTGTCTCCCTCCCCAGGTGGCTCTTCTGGACTTTGGGGCCACGAGGGAATATGACAGGTCCTTCACTGATCTCTACATTCAGGTGAGGTTGGACGGGCCTGCTTGTGGCCCACGCTGTTTGAGGCTGGGACTGGATGCTGGGGAGGCAGAGAGACGGGGTGGGCACCCTCGGGTTTAGTGCCCTGCTAGGCCCGCAGCGCTGGTGTGGCTCCCGGCCAGGGCCTTGTGGCGGGCGAGGCGGGATGGGCAGGCGACCTTGGGAGCCTTGCTCTATGCCTCTTCCAGATCATCAGGGCTGCTGCAGACCGGGACCGAGAGGCCGTGCGCCAGAAGTCCATCGAGATGAAGTTCCTCACCGGCTATGAGGTCAAGGTGCGTGCCGGCCCCCGGGCTTTGGGGCTGCAACTGCTGCTCCCTCTCGTCTTCAAGGCAACTCGGTGTGCAGAGGGCTGGCACCTGGGACAGCCGCCTGGCTGGGGAGCCCCAGTGGGACCTCACAGATGGGCAGGAGGGTGGCCCGGGCCTGTAATAAGGGCCTGGGCTGGGCCCCTCACCCACAAGTCACACAGCGACCTTTTCCTTGGTGCTGGGGACGGGAAGAGTGGTTGGGCCAGTCCTGGGTCCCGGCCTGGTCAGACAGGACTTCAGACAAGTCGGCGTCATCATGCAGGCAGCAGCTCCCTTCCCCCTGCAGTGTGGCCTGTCCCCGCCCTGTCCCGGCTCTGCGTGCTACTCCTGCCCATGCGCCCTGTGCCTGTGCAGGACACAGTGTGGAGCCTGCACTGATCGCCACACCCAGCGCATGGCCAGGCCCTGTTCTCTTTGGCCAGAGAAGTGTTTTGTAAAACTCCGAATGTGGGTTCTTTGCTGCAGGCCCCATCACGCCCTTTCAGCTCGAACCAGGTCATTGTGGCTGGAGTTGTTGCCACCCCTCACCAGGGGTCCCCTCAGCTCCTCCTTTCCTTCCTCTCCCCCAGGCCATGGAAGACGCCCACTTGGATGCCATCCTCATCCTGGGCGAGGCCTTCGCCTCTGAGGAGCCTTTTGATTTTGGCACCCAGAGCACCACAGAGAAGATCCACAACCTGATCCCTATCATGCTGAAGCACCGCCTCATCCCGCCACCAGAGGAGACCTACTCCCTGCACCGCAAGATGGGCGGCTCCTTCCTCATCTGCTCCAAGCTCAAGGCCCGCTTTCCCTGCAAGGCCATGTTTGAGGAGGCCTATGGCAACTACTGCCAGATGCAGGCCCAGCGGCAGTAGCCACAGGCTGACCCCAGGTGGCCCGGGGAGGTGGCAGCGCTGATCTCCTCCCAGACTGCTGGCCCACAAGGATCCCTGCAGCGCTTTTCACGGTTTTCATGCCAAGTGGGCAGAGGGAGAGGGCAAATTTATCCTCCACCTCCTTTTTCCTGAGGTGAACATCAGCCAGAAAGGAAGGAGCGCCTCCTCCCGATCCCTGCTGCCGAACAGCTTCTGGATAGATAACCTGTACGTGAGGCTGGGGTTGGAGAGTGAGGCTTCTGTTTGTGCCTTGAGCACAGTGCCAGCGAGTGCCGCCAGCCATGCCGCCAGGCTCCCTGGCCACTGCCATCCTGTTTTGGGCAGCTTGACCCGCCAGGGCCTGCTGCTTCACAGGGAGGGCAGGTGGGAGCAGGCGGGAGGCGGCGCTGACAGCCCCGTGCACAGAGGTGCACAGGTGCTGTGAGCTTTCCTGCAAGTCTTGTAATTGTCAGATTTACTTGTTTCAGTTCAATTAAAAAAAGTGCCATGGAAAGTGCCGTGGGGCTGTTCCCCTTCCTGTGCTTTAAGGGTTCCAAGGCTTTCGAGGCGCAGCAGTGGCCTCCCTTTCTAGGCAGTGGCCCTTTCCTCGTGTAGCCTGCCTGCCCACCCCAGGGTGCTCCTGGCATGAGGCACTGAGGGCTGCCAAAGCCACAGTGCACGGCCACGCTGGCAGCCATGGGGACAGGTCCCTGCAGCAGGGCTGGTGTTGGGCTGAGTCACAGCAAAACCCACTGGAGAGCTAGCGTGGCTGAGGGACACACCTGGCAAGTAGCTTTCTCGGGAAGGATTGCTGGTTAACGGACATCTGGCTGTTTGGCAGGAACCTTTCCACACCCATGAGCACCGGGAAAGAGCAGGAGAGGTGACCTTGGGCCTCCAGAGTAGGCCACGCATGGGTATGAAGGGGATGGACAAGTCCCAGCCATGCTGGGCTCTGGGCAAAATGGGGAAGTCGGCTGGTCCCAGGGAGGCCTCCTGTGAGTACCGGGTACCGGCTTGGCCCTTAGGGATGTGGTCCTCACACGGATTGGCTGCAGGCTGCTTTGGCCCCGCGTGGCCCCTGCTCAGACCTAGAATAGCCACTGCAGAATCCACAGGTTCCCTTGCCAGGGTCCTTACAGCCCCTTCCAACAAATGAGGCTGCAATATGAAGAGGATGGGGACAGAGACAACAGCAAGAACCACTGACCTAGACTGCGGGAGAAGCTTTTGTGCACCCAAGTGTGAGACCAGCTGTGACCTGTGCTTTCCAGTTAAGAAGAGTGGAAAGCACCTGCTTTGTGAATAACAGAGCAGGAGCCAACTGTTGTGAACCTGGCCACACATATAGTGCTTTGTACCTATTGTGACTCTTATAGTATTAAGATATCCCATTCACACTGAAAGAAGGTGACTGTCCGGGACTTTGTCTTCATATCCCGAGCATCTAGTGACCAGATGCAGGTGTCACAACATGGACACAGTATCTCCCAGCTGGGCTCGGTGCCTGAGTGACAGCACAAGCAGACATTGCTCTTGGGACTGGCACAGTTGTGCCTCCTGGCACTCGGCAGCATGGAGAACACAGGCTCAGGTTCAGTGGTTGGCCAGATAGCAGTGAGTGGTGGACCAGGATGTGGGACAAGACAGGCTGGTCTTACTCCCTGCAGTCTACGCCAAGGCCTGGCAAGCTCCCGTCCAGGGCCAAACTGGGTCCACTGTGCTGAAGAAAGGTTTCATTGGAGCACAACCACCACTCCTGATCATAGTCTATTCTGCACCCTAGTGGCAGAGGTGAAGAGCTGCAACACCGAGCATGTTTACTGATGGGCCCTGCATGGAGTTTGCCAAGCCTTCCTCACCACCACACCGCTGTGGCCTGAGCACAGCAGTACCTGTCGTCGGTCACAGGGCAGGGGAGACAGGAGGTTTTTTGGAGTAACCACTGGCAGCCAGTTTGGGACTTCTCCTAGGATGGCTCTCAGCCTTGCCTGTATATCCCTGCTGTCTGATTCCAACTCGCCCAAAGGAGGACTCAGCCCACCCCAAGTGGCTGCTTACGCTGCCTGCCCATTCCCATGGTTTGGCGCCTCCTGAATCTTGTGGAGGCGGAGTGAGGCCTTGCAGACTGATGCGTAGCAATCAGAAGTTCAGACCAGACGGGAACCAAAAGCTTCAAGGGAGTTTAACATCATTGTCAGGGGAGCTATGAGGGCAACTTAGCCCCAGATCAAACCACAGAGGGCAACTAAGCCTGCAGCCTCAGGAGCGTGAGGGAGGCCTGGCTGGCGATGTGCCAAGTGAGACAGAGCTGGGCACCTTCCTCCACTCAGGCTCCTTACATGGGGAAGGAAAGAGACAAAATACTCAGTTCCAACAGCTCCCTGTTTTATTGCAGTACATCAAAGTCTGGTTAATATTAAGTGATAGCAACATAAAATAATTGGTGAGGAGTCTTGTTAACATTTTTGACTATCCCACCTTAAATATTTCTGTGCAAAAGAATCCACATCATTGTTTGGTAGCAGAGAATCTCTTAACAAAGTTCCCTAAGACATGGAGGGCATAAAACCAAATAAAATAAGTGATAAGAGGCCAAAGCATATCTTTTCCCCTTCCATACACACATACTGGTCAGCATTATATTCTAAACAAAAATGATTACACCCAGGCCATGCAAAACTGTACAATAATATTACAATGAGAAAAAAACCCTAAAAAATTTATAAAATAAATGATATACTATCAAATAAAAAGGCAGGTCATTTTGTTTTCATGAGACATCAAGGTTGATTGGTGGTGGTCAGTGTCCCCCATAACTGCAGTGCCCATGTGGTGCGATCATGGCCTCTGGGAAGGGAGACGTACCCAGCACTGCGGAAGTTGGGCCCTCCTTACCTGACAGCCTCCGCAGAGTTCTGGTCTTGAGGAACGAGTAAAGTCCTAACAAGGAAAGAGGTTCACAAGCAGGCACAACAAGACGTGGTGCAGCCCCTTCTCTACATGCCCATCTGCCTCCCTGCTGTGCCCAATGGCTCTGGGCTGCGGCTTAGTGATAACCTGAGATTCCACACAAACCAACTGGTCCTTCTCAGAAACAGATGTGCCCACTAAATAACAAAATAACAGTTCTATTATGGAAGGAGAGCAGAGGCTGAGCCAGCTGGGAAATGACAGATTGCTGCTGTAAACATGATAGGAATTTCAGATTCTCCCCTGAAACTTGGGTACAAGGACTGGCTGGGGAACCAAACAGATGGGCCCTCTTCAGTTGTATGTCACTACCAGAAAGCTGCATTCCCAGGAAAGAACGCAAGCTGCTAAGTGTCCAGGGCTGCCGTATGTATATAAAACTAAAGAAGTGAAATCTGATTTAGCAATCATTTGATGAGGAGGAAGCTTTTGTTTTGGCAAAAAGAAATATATGTGTGTGTGTGTCTAATTTTATACACCCAAAAAGCACATGAGAAGATTAGCCTGAATTTAAGAGTAGGTAACAAATTGGTTGGATATAGATAGCACCAAATATCAACACATAAGACTCTATGCCAGAAATGCATCTGAATGCATTTTCTTTGAGAAATTAATTCCTGTTGCCATACAGGTTTTTTTAAATGTCCTGCATTAAAAAAAAATTCTTCAGGCAGCAACAGGATACCCTGTGATCTTTGTTACTGACCTCTCTGAATGGTCCTTACATTTTCCTGTTCTTGGAATCTCTTTTCCATCTTTTAAGAAACTTCTGAAGTTAAATGGCCTCAGATTTAAGTGTGGAATAAGCCCAGCAGGATATTCATCACCTTGAGAAAATTATCTCCAAGAACTACTCCCTTGAAGGTTTCTCCCTTCAAATCCTGCATTCAGTCTGCTCAGGCTTGCAGTGGGAAATCAGAGTCCTGTGTGCCAGCCATGGGCTGTTCCTTTATCTGCCCTGGGAGGTGCAGGATTCACTGTGTTGGCGCCTACACTTTAGGTAGGTTTGTACTTTAATTCTAAAAGTATCCTCTGAAAAATAAGCACCTATAGGCAAAAAAACCTCACAATTAGTTGTTAAAACTGCAGACTGATGGTTTAGTGTAGAGAGCCCTGTCGTTCTTGGCCTGGGAAGAGAAGGGACAGAGGCAGAGGTGAAAGGAGAGGGCAGGGCAGCGTGAAGCTGGTGGCAGCGTGCGTGTGGCACCCGCCTGGCTGACCCCTTCACTCTCTGCCAAGTTTAAGCAGCTACCGGCGTCATATGGCAAAAACCAAACTCAAAGTCGGATCCCCCCCGATATTTGGGTGTATAAAAGTATTTTTCATGACACTTCCTTTCCAAAAGCAGAAAGATCTGGGAGATTAGAGCTACACTGTGAACTGTGACCACCCAGAATAAAATATGTTAAAACCTGAGCCAGCAGAGTCCAGAATGTTTGTGTCAAAGTGGCTAAGGCTCACGGCTAGGAGTGCTGGCCATGTAACCCCAAAGGACCCCTTCCTCCTTCGCTGAACCGAGTAGCATACACTTGAGGATGGCCAAGCCCTGCAGGTGCTGCCAGGCAAAGGGTGAGAGGTGCGAGACCAGCGATGAGACAGCGGGGCTGACACTGCACTCCAGTTAGCAGCTGCAGAGGATTTTCTTCATTTAAGCCACATTTTTTAGAGGAGAAAAGTCTGCTCCTACTTCCGTCAGAAACTTGGGTGAAAAGAGAGGCAGATTCTCTTCCATGAGCTATTTTTATCTTTCTCTGCTCATGTGCTTCAATGGTGAAATGACTGTAGCAGCAAATTCTTTTGGTTCTGCACCTCATGTCCTGATGGCAAGGAGAACAGGCGGAATCCAAATGGAAACACATCTAACAAGGCAATACTGCAACCAGGGGAAAAGCCGTCAAATCAGCCATGCGGGGTCACTTCCCGCCTGTGCCTGGGGATCATCCCATCCACTTCCCACTGCTGTGGGAAAGAGTACTTGGTTAAGGCTGTTCAAGTCCTTGCTTTTGAGGTTTCTTATTATTTGGTACTAAAAGCCTTTCCCCTCAGGCCCTTCTGAGGAATTCCGCACCCATCCTAAGGAAACAGGCTCTCCTTCAGAAGCCATCTCCAGCCCTGGGACAGACACTTCACTGTAACCTAGGTGAAAAAGCACTTTTATGAACCTTTTTATGAACTTTCAGAAGCCACAACACTCCCTTCAGATGGAAGGGATCAGACGGTGACAGCATTGCATCACCTGTAGAAGATATGAAATATAATAAAAGTGTAGTTTGAATTCTATCACTAGAAAAAAATGGGTAGAGGTGAGCGTGCCTTTGAAGCTGCTGCTCAAGTGGTTTCAAATGTTTCAACCCTGGTGGTCCAGGTTGTCATCAATGAAGCCAGTGTCTTGGATGTCCCCTAAGGGCCCCAGATGACCACGGCCTGCCAGCAGTGTGAGGACAGGCACCGCAGGGACCTCGGTTCCCCCCTCCCTCTACCAATGTCAGCATGAAGCCTTTCTACCCTGTACGTGGCTTAGCTGGGAAAAAGACAAGAAACAACACATCTCTTAAATTAAATGCTCTCTCTCATATATGCATCCATCTCATTGATTACAAGGTGCTTCTTTTGACTATATACATTCAGTATTTAACTTCTACATTTATGTATTTAAACTCTGTACTGTAGTAAAATATGCATCATTTTAATTTGTGAGGATTCGTGGGGATTTCCAGCAAGAATCAGCAGCAGCGCACAGCGGCCTCTGCAGTTGGGTCCCTCTGCTCACGCTGAGGGTACAGCGAGGTGCTACTGTGAAACAGACCTGTCTAGTCTCACTCGTAGTTACACTTGTGTAGTCTGCCTACCGAAGCTACCTTTGGGGCTGGGGGAGTAAATGTTACTGAAAGCAACTCTACGCAGGAATGAACTGCCGCCGACCTCAGCCGCAGGGGAAGTGGCCTCGTGGCTGCTGCTGGCCAGGGGCGTGGAGCTGCCAGGCAATGGCACTCCCTGGCCCGCCACTGCTGCTGGGTCCCGGCTGGCCGGGGTGGAGAAGGAGATGGAGGTGGGGGAGGGCAGCGGAGGGGCTCGGGCACTAGCACCCTGGGTTCACGGGTCCCAGCTCCCGCGCTCGGTGCTCTCCAGAGAGAGGCTCTTGGTCTTTCGGGGTGAAACTGGGCTTGGGGGGCTGCTCAGGTTGGAGCTGTTGGATGCTGTGGAATGCCTTGGAGAGTCGGAGTCCTGTAAAGCCAGAAGCAGAGCATCAATGAGAAGCAGGGCAGGGGGGTGCTCAGGTCCCCACAGGCCCCCACCTGCCACCCTGACCAAAGACCTGTGGGCCTGCTTTTGGTTTTTTTTCCTTTTGCAGTACTAGAGATTGAACCCAGGGCCTTTTCACATTGAGCTCTTGAAATATTATTTATTTTTGGGACAGGGTCTCGCTACATAGTCCAGACTGACCTTGAACTCACTGTGTAGCCCAGGCTGGTCTCAAACTTGTGGCAATCTTCCAGCCTCAGCCTCCCAAGTGCTGGGATTACAAGCATGCACCACCATGCCTGGCCAAAATATTTTTTGAGACAGTGTCTTGCTATGTTGCTAAGGTGACTCCCAGAGTGTGGGACTTCTTTATGGCCCTTTTGTGAGCTAAGAGGCACAAAACAAATGCTCTGTCCTTTCCGCAGTCTTTAAGGATGTAGGCATTTCAAAAGCCACTGGAAGTCTGGAGAGCTCCAGGAAAGCTCCAGTTTACAACTTCAGTGCCCTGGCTGAGAGGAAATGCAGTGAAGGGGCCGGGGTGAGCTGGATAAAAACTCTGCTCCTTTCTCAGGAGCCCCACTTACCTCTCCGTCATAGTCCCTGGCAGGGGCATCACTTCCCTGGTCCATGCCTCCGGATGACAAGGAGCCCTCTGACGGGGAAGGCATCGGCTGCCGCTTTGCACTGTAGCTTCCTCCAGAGAGCTCCCGCTTCAGTGCACTGCCATTCTGAGCGGATGACCCTGCAGGACCCCATTTAGGAAAACATCAGGTATGCAAAGAGGACAGTCCTACAGGAAGTAGCCAGCTGCAGAGATGAGAGTTCACCCTCCCCACAGCCCAGACCCCCTCCTCTGAGGAACAGTAGCCCAACTATGGTAGCCCAGGCCCCAGTTGCACCCTGAAGTCCAGCTACCTCAGATGGCTGCTCCTGTCACACTCCAGCTAAGGACACTTCTCATGGGCACACAGTGCTCTCCCCAGGACAATAATCACAGAATCTTTCCTGTCCCGGGGCTGCCTCCTGAGCCTTCCCGCCCCCTCATGGGTCCCCCGGGGCAGTCTCATTATAATCCAGTGCCTGGCCCTCTAAGAGATACGTCCTCTGCCTCTCCCGGCCTTGCCCAGAACATAGCTGAATGCAGAAGACAGAACATCCAGAGCCAAGGCTTGTGCCAATCAATGTGGGATTAGCACTTGACCACACACACACACACACACACACACACACACACACACAAACATAAAACACACATATTTTCAACCCACAGAACAAAAAGCCTGTGGTTTCAAAATGAGGTTGAGTTTCTTCAAAATCATACTGTTCCTGTTCTTAGAGTTAGGGTACAAAGGAGGACCAGAAGCATTCACAAAAGAAAAATCTTTGGAAATTTGGGGAGTACTGTTAGCATTTAAAGCCCTTAGAATTCCCTGCAATTTTTTAGGTTTTGCTTAAATAATGTTTTAATCTTGCTGAGCTTCAATATTAGGACCGCTCATCCCAAAGGACTATGTTGAAATTTTAGTACAACTTTAAGGTATAGGGAGTGATTCTGAGCTTCTTGCTGATTTAAAACTTTTATTGTAATCATTAAGAATTCAATGAAAATGTCAGCAGGTGACCTCTTACAGCATACGTATCTGATGACCAGCAGTGTGCTGAGTGCTCGCAAAGGCCGACAGGAGCCTGCTGACAGGCTGTGTCCTTGCTCACTCCCACTGCCACCTCCCCTACGTGGGCTCCTTAATAAAGCACTGGGCAGGTGGCATCAGAGAAAGGCCTGCATTTTCCTGACACCACAGCTGACTTCTCAGAGGTCACCAACGCTCCCAACGCTGGCTGTACATATCGTATTATTATGGTGCTTTAAAAATATCAACACCTGGGCCCTGGCCCGAAGCAACTAGAGCGGGCTCTCCCACTTGAGTTTTAAAAGCTTCCCTGACTTTAGTGCATCAGGACAGAGGGGCTGAGCGGCTGTCCCTCGCCTGCGCCATCCACCCTTTGGACTCGCTGCCCTCACCAAGCACTGCTCTTTGCTTGGTGCTGTTCTTTGGAAATGTACTCTTCACTTTTTTTGGTGTGGATCTTCTTCCTTAGAGTATAATCTATTTGAAGGCATCATCATTTGTGTTTGATTTTTCTTCTAATTTCTTGTCTGGTTCAGTGTTCAGTTTTTAAAAAAAGTTATAGAAGTTTTGTATTTTGTCCTTCTGAATAGAAAATACAAACTGCCAGAGATTTCTGTGGCTCTCCTTCCCCAGTGTGTGACCTCAGGCAAGTTGTGTCACCCTTCTGAATTTCAGTTTTCCTTACCTATAAGTAAAATAAATTCTACCTTATAGGACTTCTGTGGGAACAACAGATGCAGAATGAAATGCAGGACAGGAGGGTGAAGGGGCCTGCATCATGCTTTGGGCTTTCACTTGCCTCCTCCTTCCTAGTAATCATTTGTAGATAAGAGAACTGGAACTCACCTCAGTGCTGTAAAAAAAAAAAAAAAAATATATATATATATATATATATATATATATATGAATTTTACTTTTAAATTTTTAGACTCTTTTCAAAGAACGGTTACACTCACTCAAATCTTTAAAAAAAAGAAAAGAAAGACAATAGCTAGGCATGGTGGTGCAACACCTGTAATCTCAGCACTTGGGAGGCTGAGGCAAGAGGATCACCAAGAGTTTGAGGCCAGTCTGGGCTAATGAGTTCAAGGCCAGCATGAACTATGGAACAAGCAGTTCAAAAAGCCAAAAACAACAACGACAACAACAACAACATCAAAACCTAAGTTGAGCTGTCTTGGTATAATAACAAAAAGGCCGGAGGCAATCTGGAAAGTGTAGGCCTGGCTTACTTTGACCACCCTCAGCCCAGCCTCTGCAACCTGGCTGCACCTCACAAAGCCTGGCTGTGAAAGACCCTGTGGAGACTGACAGCAGAGTTCCCCTACTGCTTCCCATCCCTCTCTTGGCCAGCCACCTGGAAACATTTTATAGGAGCCTGGCTCCTCTTGAAGCCAGTAGGAGTCACTCTAACAGCAGAAGCCCCCTGGATTCCAGAGATGCCATTTCCTGGTATCTCCCCAAAAGGCTTCTAACAGCCATGAAGGGCCTGATGGCTCGAGTGGCTCGCTCTCGCCTGCACTGTCCATGTTACCAGTAGTGATCTGCAATCCTCATTCACCCCCTCTAAGGAGAGCTCTGTGTAGCAGGTCTTATCTTTTATCAACAGTTCCACAAATCCCAAAACACCAAAAGCTTTTTTTTTCATTTGATCCTAACCCACGTGATAGCACAACCTCATCTGAACGGACTGGAGGATGATTACAGGCTTTATTTATAAAGACTATACATTATCTTTTATCATGTGGGTAGTCAGCATTTTGCTCTATAAATATTAACGTTCTTATTGGCACTATCCCAGATCTTCCCAGGAATATAACACAACACACGGCGTACTCCTTTCTAGAATACATTAAAAAAGAAATCTGGATTCTGGACGGAGGGAGAAGAGGATCTGGCTCCATCACGTAACTATTAATGTTGAGGTACTTGCCATGCATTTCAAGTCTAGTTATAGTTTAACTTCACCACAAGTACAAAGGCAATTTGTGGTGCAATATTCCAATCACATTTTTCAATGCAGTAAGCTATAAACTGGTTCCAGATGACTTAGGGAAATAATGGCAAGAAAGGTGGATCTCGAACACTGGAATTTCTGTGTGTCAGGTGAAGACTCCTTCAAAGCCCACTCCTGAACTCCTGCCCAGTCTCCCACTTGGTCACCTTCTCTTGACCGTCACACATTTACGCAGTCCCCTCCCTCAAAGAAGCAGCACAGCCATGTGTCATAAAATAGCATTTGAGTCAACGAGGGACCAAGTGCACGTCCAATGGCCATCTTAGTTTGTGTAGGGACGATCTGTGATGCCTGCCCAACCAGGAGATCATCCCAAGTCACGTTTCTCAGAGTGTCTCCCTGTCATTAGTGATACTGTCATGCCTGAGACAGGGCTGTAAAGCTGCTGCTCCTGCCTGTCCCTCAGATCACTTGCTCTGGGGGAAGCCAGGCAGCGTCACAAGGACTCTCAGGAACTGGAGAGAAAGGGCCTGTAGGCTGCCCCAGGCCATGTGAGTAAGCAGGCAGTGGATTCTCCAGGCACTGGGTTGAGGGCTGACAGTGTGAGTGCAACCTCATGACAGGCCCTGAGCCAGAACCATCCTGACCCTCAGAAACCATGTGAGATAATAAATGTTTGCTGCTTAAACTTCTAAGCTGTGGGGTAATTTGTTATGCATCAGGAACAGCAGTATCATCTTTATATCACCAAAACCTGAAAGGAATATCTGAGCACAGAGCAGATGCTAAAATCAATGGCTGCTGAATGAACAACAAATGCATCAGGATACCTGGACTCAAGTGTCTAACATGCAAGAATGCAGGGCAGTACATAAATCTGGGATAGTGTAATTAGTTTTTCTCAGAGATCGACTTTTCAGAAGCACAGAAAGATTTCACTGGTTACACTGGACACGCCCGGGGACTGCATTTCTGTGGGCACTGGGAGCTGTGCTCCCTTGGGTCTCTCAGCAATGCCATGGTACTGGGAAAGCACACACCCAAGAAAGTTACAGGAAAGAGGCCCTTTGGCTAAGAACAATCTTCCCCAGCCAGAAGCTACAGGATCATTTCACAATCCCCACTCTCACTGCTGACATCCACGATCTACAAAAGATCACAGTGAACCAGAGATGTGTGACTCCTCCCTCTGAGGGAGGCAACTGTTACAACCACTGTGCACTTTTATTCAGTAGACAGCATCTTGCCTAGGCTTCCTTCTTCCCCCACCAAGAAGTTGCTCCTGAGCATAGCCAAACATAAGCACTCCATGGAGCACATATTCTCTATATTGTCCCTTAGTTCAGGGTTCTGTACAAAGGCATAGAAAAGAGGTGCTACAGTTCAGAGTAGAGTGGGAAAAAAGGAGAGGCTAAAAATAAAGATTGTGAAGCATTTGAAAGCCGGTTACAGGCAGCTGGTGTCTTCTGGGCCTCAAAGATTTTACTCAATGAATGGCATTATCTTGCTTTTATGGTAAAAGAGTATTCTTGTATCTGCCCCTGCTCCTTTCCAGTTAATCAGTTAATGTGTTGATTGTGTCCTACCTTGGACCTTTGTGTGTTCCCAGAATGCCTGCCCCAGCCCTGGCCTGAACCTCAGCAGATGGGAGTCAATGGTAACACCTATGGCCATCTTTACTCTTCCTTTTTCCTTTCTCATAACAGATTCATCAAGCCTTATTGGTTCCACCTCTGAAAACATCTGGAGAATCCACTGCCTTCTGCCTGTGCTCTTCTCCTTCCTGCCCTGCTGTACTCCAAACCTCCTGGGCTTTCCCCTGGGCCAGTCCCAGAGCCTGCTATCTGGATGCTGGCGTCCACTCCTGCCTGCCTTCAACCCACTCTCCACTTGGCAGCCAGAGGAATCATCACAAATGTAAACTGTGTAAGGCTCTTCCCTACTTACAATTCTCCAAAGGCTTCTTGCTGCATTTTGATTACAATTAAACATTCCTGCCTTAGTCTCCAGGTCCCTGTCGATGTGGCGCTTGCCCACCTCTCCTGCTCTTACTTTTTGTCACTCTCTTTCCACTACCATGCAGCCACATGGCCTTCTCAGCTGGCTGACATGACTCAAATATGATGCCACCTGAAGTGAGTACGAGTTTATCCCTAAAAGCTATCCCTTCTATCCTCTATTACATTACCCTGGTTATTCCACAGAGCATTTACCACCACGATTTGCAGCTGTATCTGTCTCCCAGACGGCCTGCACACTAGACTAAGGACTCTAGAGCTGTTTTCTTAACAACTGCACCTGTGACCAGCAGGGTCTAAGACATTGCTGAAGGTGACAGACACTGTTGCCATGAATGTAGAATGAGAAAGCACTGAGCATGTGTAAGTGAGAGCATGTCAGTTGAGGGACTTGCAGGGCAGGAGGTGGCCAGGATCCCTAGCTTAGAGGCATCTCCCACAGCCTGGGCCACTTACTTGCTGACAGGCCACTGCTGGCACTCATGGAGCGGCCTGGCTCCGGGCGGGACTTGGTGATGGATGGAATACTGACCGAGCCACTGAATACTGTCCGGCTTTCCTGAGGACGAGGGTTCTAAATCACAAAAGAAAGGTACATTCTTCATCCAGAAAGAAACTTTTTTGGCAGAGATGTCTACTTTTCACAATAACTATTAAGAAATAAAACAATCTTGACCAGAAGGATACTGAGTAAGAAAAAGTAGATCCCACAATCCCTTCCACACATAAAAGTAAAACTCTAAAATGAAATAAATTTCACCCAGTAAGAATTAAGTAATTATTTTATTGAAATACTCATCAATAAATAATGTCTTGGTTGTGAAGACGGTAAGTAACGTTATTGTGGTTAGATGTTACAGTGAGGTGTAAAATTACATGGACATTTGCAGCAAATAAAAATAAAGCTCTCACTATGTATGAGATTTTTACTTGCTTAGGATAAATCACAATAATTAGTAAGTCCATTTGGAAGAATTACATTCTTGCCAAGACAACGGTTTACTTTGTCAGAAACATGACGTTGCAGCAATCAACTTGGGTGACATTCCGTAACTAGTGATTATTAGTTTGACGATTTCTCTTTTGGTCCCAATTTTTTCTGACTAAAAAGGAGATGTCAGGCCTGACAAAATCCAGAAGAGGGAAAAATATTACAATATTCTTTATAAATCCTAGAGTAGGCAAACTACATATACCGTATTATTAATATCTCTTATCTTTCACAATGATTTCTCTACTTGTGGACATAGTTCCAAATTTCTGATGCAAAGGGTCTGGACTGCTTAAAATTTATGAATTCATGGAATATATATATATATACACACACACATACAGTGGTAACTCAGTCCATCAATGCTTTGTTTGTGAACAGTTTGGTTTGCAAACAGAAGTGCTCAGCAAAATTTTGCTTTTGTTTGCAAACTGCATTGGGAGACAAATACAGCTGTGGCCATCTTTTCCGCAAACATGAACATGGCCATCCTTTCCAGAACTGTGGAATGCATTAAGTTCATGAACTGAGGTACATGTCTCCCTATATCTATATACACTACACATATAATATATATACTATAGTAGATCTATATCTACAGCTATCTATCTTTATACACAGAACATTTCTAACTCCTTATTAGTTTTTCCCTAATAATTACAACAAGAATAACAGTGATTTTACTAGCCCACAGCACCTGTTTTCCGACAGCCTGCCCTCTCATCACTGAGAAAGGAAAACAGCCAGTACTTGGTAAGCGAGGTGGAGAAGGAAGCGCACTCACATCTGTGGTGCAGACTACTGCTGGCAGGCCCTGGGCTGATACAACTCTAAGCCTTGGTTTCCTCGACTGTTTCTGGGCATGAAACCTGCTGTGTGGAGCTTTTCTGAGAATCACACTGGTTACACCAGTGAAAGGAGAGCACCCAATGCAGCTCACCTATGTGCAGCTCCTCCACTTGCTCTACTAAGGGGCTCATGTGCCATCTGCAGCATCACTTCACTCCTCCTGACAGTTTCATTAAAACAGCAATTTTGCTGGGAGGGACAGTCACAAATTTTACATGCAGCAAGAACATAACTATAATACAAACAAGTACATTAAAAAGTAGCCAAAAATTTAAGTTCTGTTACTTTTCCAAAGGATCAAGCTATTAAGAAAAGCCGATTATTTTAATGGGATCAGAGTATACATGCTACTTTCTTTTGAGAGGAGATGGCCTCCCTTTATTGTTTCTACACTTTAAAAAAAAAATCACAAAACAGTCACAGCCACCATGATTAATGAAAAGTGACTGTAAAGTATATTTATGAACTAGTAGTTTTCCAAGTACTTACATCATTAGAAGTGTTTACTTTTTCCTGATTGTAAAGGTAATATTCATGGATTGTGGACCGTATGTACAATAATGAAATAATAAAAGAAATAAAAAATGTCTCCTGTGAATTCACCAGCTACTATCAATTTGGTGTGACTCCTATCTTTTCTTCCAATGTAAATTTTTAAGAGCTGGCCACACTATATCCCGGTTTTTTTCTAATGCAACAAAACACAAAGCTAATTATTTTAGAATGTTATAATTGTCTGCCTCATTTTACTGTCTCAAAAGCAATAAATCTTCTCTAATCAATTGGGGCTTAGAAAATACTGTTTTTTCTTCTGATAGCTTAAAGAAGAGGATCGATCAAAGAAATCTGTCCATATACCTGGCCAACATTGATATTTACATTGTTCATGATATATATGACTTAGATTTTTCATGACTTATGCTATTCAATGTTAATTCAATATAATTTAATGTTAATAATCTTACCTGAATGCTTCATACATTTCAGCAAGAGAAAAGGCCTATATGCTTAAGTTACATTTATGTATTTCCTTAAATATCTTTATACCTTCCCTTTAAACACAGAAAAATAGCACACTGTGAGTCACACAGACTCACCTGCTTAAGGACCTTGGCTGGTTCAGGTGAGACCAGTTTGCCCTGGCTGTTTAGGAAGTGTGCAGCTCATTTCTGTTCTTAGCCTCATTCCTTTAGTCATCTTATTGTTTCTTATAGTGACTGCAATTATAACCATACTAACCTCTAGCATGTAAAATAGTTTGCTGGAAAATATTTGCTGAATAAGGATTATATCTGCGATCCTAATTTCCTACTTTAAGTATTAGAATTAACTATATTGCTAATATAGTTCATGAATTTCAAATTATGATCCTTCCTGTAGAACACGTAGTTAATGTTGGCTTGATGTAACAAGTGAATTTGGGTGTGGGTATTTATGAGTTTTAAAGATGCCAAAGTCCATTTTACTTTCATTGTTTGGACAGAATAACATTTTCTGGGCATCAGTGAATGAAATGGTGGAAATTCTTCAAATAACCTGATTTATACACAGAATATTATAAAATGAGCACAAATACTTAAGACTTTAGAGGTTATTTGGAAGAAATAATAAATGTAGTAGTGTAGCTAAAAAACATTTGTGATTATAATAAAAGTCTACAACTAAAACCTTAGTTCTCAGTCACCTCGTAACCATGAGAGCCCAAGGAAAGGCCATGGGTCTAGTGATTTTGTCGCACTGAGTGTTCCTACACATATCTGAAACACTGAGAAGATTACGGCAAAACCACCAGGGCAGAGACGAAGCTAGTGATCAGGAAAACAAGCATTAATACAGTACCACTTAAAAAACTCCAAACCCTATATTTTGAAAAGGCACATACACTGAAAGTTGGCCAGCCAACTGGCCCCAAATTCAACCACTTCCTTTGGTTCATATACCAAATTTGCAAAGTCCATGTAATTCTCAGTGTGGTATTTACTCAAAGCAAATGTTTTACTTTTTTCCCTTCTAAGAAAATAAAAAATTCAGAACTGAAACAGTCAAGGCTATTGAGATTTCACATGTACTCGAGCAACCCTGTTAGACACAAGCATTGTACGCAATGCAGCCAAAGAAAGTGCAGAAGAGATGGGAGGATCAGGTTCAAACTGCACATTTTGGTATTGATTTTTCTATAAACCTTACAATGGACTAGTGTTGTCCTTTTCTATAAAACATCCACCTTAAGTAAATGGCAAAGATTAAGCTGAAACTATGAAATAGTTTCTTAGTAACATTGTTCAATAAAATTATACATGGAAAAAAATGTTAAAAAAGCTTATTAAATTAAAATAAAACTTCATTAGAAAGTGACAAGAAATTAAATTTTTGATCTTTCTAGTTACAAATATGCTCAAGATTAGGGTAAAATTTGTTGATGGTACAGTGATTTACTCAAAGACAACTAACCTAATACTTGTATCATGTTTTATATGAAAAACTTAGTTGATTTATATAGCATTCCACTAGAATCTACTGCCTGCAATCTGTTACCAAGCAAATTAAGGCTTATTTTTATCATAGTTAATTTTGTCAAGCAAGATGCTGAAGTGTTATTATAATTTAATGTCAATGACATTTAAAATATAGTTGAAATTTTTTATATTATAAACAAAAGTCATCCTATAATTTTCTTATTGAAAAATTATTTAACTATCAAACAAATAAAAAAATTGATGCTACTATTTTTCTAAGCCAGGGGGGATATAATGGGAATGAGTCTCTGTGACACAATCCAAATATTTTATTATCTGTAAAACTAACTTCCCTTGAAGTTAGCACAAGCACTATTTTTACTCGATAAGCACATGGATACTCAGTGTAATAGCCACTCTCCACCTCACTGCAAAGCTACTAATAAAGACAGAGGGCTAAATGGAAGGAAATGGATGGGATGGATAATAGATGCCATGGTCCTTCATGCTTCCTGTATGCTTTGCTTTTTTTTTTTTTTTTTCTATTCAGCTTTCTTGGACCCTAGTTGGAATTAAATGCATATCAGTAACTAAATGATCTGTAAAACTGTGCATTGGTGGAATTTTTTCTGTTTTGAATGTATTCTGGAATACATTATGTTACTTTGAATACAATACAATACTTTGAATGCAATATAATACTTTGGAAATTTTTAAAGTTTTCAAAAGAAGGTTTACTGTAGCTACGACAGGTACATCCCTAGACTTCAAACTCATCAAATATAAAAAATATATCTGAATTGAACTGGTTATAGGTAATGAGCTATAAAAAACTCAGAAATTCAGACAGCCTTTTTCTGTTTGCTTTAACCAAATAAAGAGCCACTCAAGGGTTATTTTTTATGATGGTATGTGTAATGGGAAATATGATAATGGGAAATTTTCTTACCAAATACAGATGAATCACAATACTATTACAAAAATAAAACATTGAAATCCTCCTTATTTCTCCATTTTTTTTTCTCAAAAGAAATGAAACGGAATGGGTAGAGGAGGAAGAGGAAGATAAACAGAGGAAGAAGAAAAACAGTAAGAGAAGTATGGCAGAAGAGAAACAGGTCAAAAGAAAATGTTCATAAAATGGTAGCATTTTGGTGGCGTTATTTATTAGGCCAGGCAACAGGAAATCTCCACATGGTTAGTAAAAGTTAACACCTGACTCAGCAGTTCATACCCTCAGAGTCATAAAGCTTGGTGTACCAGGGACAGAGCGTAGAGACGGGGAATATTCAGGGTTTATGGAATCAGGAGAGAGAAATTTTTCAGCAGAATTAACAGTCATGTGATAGATGTGCTCAAAGTTGATCGGAGAGGAGATCAGACCGGAGTGATGATGAGGGGATGGATAAGGGAAACCTGGCTATCAAAAACAACAGAAAAGAAGAAAAAAAGTGATAAGGTGATGATGGAGTCAATAAAACGTGTGACATTTCTGACAACATGCACACAGAAAAGAACAAAGTAGTTTCTTATATAAGTACCAAATCCTTAATGAAATACTTTTAGGACTTAGAAAGTTAAATTTTGTAATCTTCTTGCCAGTCACTTAAACAGCTGATTTGTAAACAATCCTTCTTCTTATAAAATCATTCTTTTACTACTATAGTTAAGTGAGTAGAAACTGGACTTTTAAAGATGCAAGAATACTTTCAGAATTTAGCTTAGGATTTTCAGTTCTTTTTTTAAAAAATTAATTTTATTGGTCCATTTTAGGTATACAATATGACATTCATCATTGGAAATTTGCACCTTTTTTACATAATCTCTCTTGGTTCTTATTTTTTCCCCATTCCCAGTTTAGGATTTTCTTATGTGATACAGTCAAAACATGACAAAAATCTACCAAAATCATTAAATATAGAAAAATCAAAAAACAATTAAAGAATCTACAGTGGCTTCTAACTAGAGGTGTTATGGAATTTTCTTTAGAATCTAAAACAATTAAAAACATTTCCTAGTACTATATTTATAGGCTTGTGATATGTGCTGGCTTTTATTGTTCTTCTCTATAAGAAAAATAGTATCTATGGGTACTAATTGGTTTACTTTTAAGCACACACTGATTTTCATATAGACAACTAAAAGAACAAATTTGTATCAGGGAAAAGTCTTCCTTTTAATGTTCAGGTTTGTTTTTAAAAAATGAAATAATGTAATACCAGAGATACAGAAAAAAAGCCTTTGAAGTCAAGATAAGGTAACTACTGCTGATTATTTAGGGAGTACCAATCAGTAGCCAACCACTTTTTCATAATGGGGAGTTTTGAGGTTCAGTTCGTGAAGAATAATTGTTTCTGAAAACAGGGGCCTTTCATTAAAGGCAAAGGGTGAACAATGTCCTGGAGAAAGTTCTGACTGAATCCAGCACAGCATTTATGTTCTACTAGTTGAGATGAGCTTGCTTTGTAAAAATATCTCAGCAATTATCAAAGCTGAAAAGAAAGGCTTCCATACAAGATATTGTTTTTACTTCAGAAATATGAGTAAATCACTACAGTACTTTCTAAGGTTTTTTCCAACAAAAAGGGGGAAAAAAGACATGTAACTTTGATTTTAAGGAAACAAAATTACTTGGGGAGGTTTTAGGGATGGAGCCCAGGGTTTTGTACATACTACGCAAGTATTTTATCACTGAGGTATGCTCTACTCCAAGAAGAAAAATTACTTCTGGAAGCCCTAAGAGGACACTGCACTAGATTTTATTAACGATATGAGGAGTGGATAAGATGTACTGTGCTTGAAGTACAGAAGTAAAATGTTATTTTTGCATCAATTAGAGAAAAAAAATCTGTCCTCTATCACTAGATCTTATAGAATGAGATAAATGATAAAAAAAATTTCAAGAAAACTAACTCAGTATATTTTTGTAAGACATACACACAAGCCTTAAATCGCTTATATTCTTTGGCTTACTAAGATACAAATAAACGGTTCACCTCTGATATAGGAAATAAGAAAATACAATGATTCCTTTAGCTTATTGCCCCTTCTACATTTAAGAAACAACAAGAGTACTATTTCTGGATCATTTCATATAAAAGAAATGGAATTAACTTTTAAAAACATTTAATAAACTTTCTATGCTTGTAAGTATTTCACAGAAAAACAATACTGATTTGAGTAAGCCGAAACATAAAAATGGGGCACATGTTCTTTGCACAGATGATAATACATGGCTTTGGTGCTTGAAAACTCTTACACATTAACAGATGAATTTAACTCATCTTTATGTTTTTGGAAACTGTTCACAATTCCTTTTCAGTGGAAAGAACGTATCAAAATCTGAAAATACATACAAGATCATAAACTTTTCCATAAAGGTATGTACACAAAGACATGCATACTATTATTATTATATTCAAACATGCATATTATTGTATTCTTTACCAGTATCTATCCTCAGATAGGCATGAGCCCGGGCAGATAGTAAGTGCTCAAGAAACATGTGTTAGGTAATTAAGCGGGTATCTATAAAAACCCCAGTTCATATATCCTTTGGCAGTGAAATGAGAAAAATCATGTTAAAATAACATGGCTGTGAATAACAGTAATTCTGACACATAAAATCTTTGATGCATACTACATGTCCAGGGGAAGAAGTAAGTTTCAAAAATTTACACCAACTTCTTAACCTGGAAATACAAAGGTGCTTACATGATAAGAAAACACGACAGGGGTGGGAAGCACATTAAAATCTGAATTGAACTGCTAGAGTTAAAAAAAAAAAATCAGTGTTAATGCCTAAAAGAACCAATTAGGTGAGCATGGGTTTAAAAAAAAAAATCCGGTGACAGCAAATACTAAAAAAATTAAGAGGTCTACTTAGAATCAGCAACCAGCACAGAAGGTCACATGCTATGGAGCCAGGTGGGGGATGAATCTTTGGAAAATTTTAATCTAAATTTGTTTAGTAATAAAAATATTTTAGGGCTGGGGATTTAGCTCAGTGGTTCTAGCGCCTGCCTCACAAGCTCAAGGTCCTGAGTTCGATCCCCGGTACCAAAAAAAAAAAAAAATTAAAATTAAAAATACAGATTCCTTTTTAGTGGTAGTAAAGTGAGGGGAGAAAAGTAAAGTTAAGGAGGGATACTTTCACAAACTTTCTTACAATGTTTGAAATCTGATATTTTAGTGTTAGGGTGCCTATTCTTATTGTGTATGAAGGTCTAAAACAACTTTGGAACCTTAGTAAATTGATTTTCTACCCAATAGCAGCAGAACACCAAGCAGAGTAACATTTTATTAAATACTGTACTGAAACTATTCCATCCAAAGAAAAATACTGCTAATATGTGAGATTAAAAAAAACCTCTATTCCAAAAAGAAAAGTGGCTATTGTGAATGATCTGAACTCCATAAAGGAAGGAATATTACTATTACCACATAATAATAATCTCTTGATGATAAAAAATAAATATAAAAAAGCAGGGCCAGCTCATTAACTGGGATATTTCCAGCAAAGTACTCAGGCTCAAAAAAATGCAGACTTAATTCTTTTCTTCCCATAAAATAAAAGCAAAATGCCTTTTAAAAGTTAGTTTTTATGTTAAAAATCTGACTGCATATCAAACTATATTACTTAGGGCTGGGGATTTAGCTCAGTGGTTCTGCCGCCTGCCTCGCAAGATCCCAAGTTCAATCCCCAGTACCAAAAAAAAAAAAAAACCCAAAAAACAAAAAACAAACAAAAAAAACTGTATTACTTATTTTTTCTTGCAGCTCTTCTATCACAGTAGTGTTGATAATATGGTTAATTTAAAGCAGATTTCCTTAGAGATATGGGTTAAGATCTATAATTCATCTCCAAATTGGCATTAAATAAAAATTATGCTTAAAATTCTATATAAAGTTTAACGACTATATTGTTCGGAAAGGTCATACTAAAGTTTTAATAGTCTGTAGTACTGAAATGTTAAGAATAAGCAGAACCTAGATAATTAGCTAATTCCACTAATAGTCTTAAGCTCAACATAATGGGTCTGACAACACAATCTATACTGTTAAAACATAACAGCTTTCCTTTGTTGTACTTTTTATGTACAATTTACTAGGCAACATACTTGTAACTGGGCAAAGTAAAAAGATTTAACTTCAGCTAGCTGAGCGGCATGACTATTAATGACCATGCTAACATGGATCTCTTGGGAGAAAAAAGGCCAAATACTTCTGAACTTAGTGAAATTTTAGTGACTTAGTATACAATCTCTCTTAATATGGCACTTTCTTCCATTAACAATAATAAATTTAGGAATGAGAGAAATTTCTAGGGTATGGAAGAATTTGATTTGTTTGATTTCTGACATGTCTAAATTTTATGTTTTGCTGATCAAATATGTCTTTATGCATCTTAAATATATTGTGACAGACTCAGAGAAACATTTTATTATATTAATATAGTCTGTGAAGTCTATATATGTTTTCAAGACTATCCTCTCTCCTTTCTTCTTACCATGGGCAGGTCTTTCAGGATCTGTATTCCATCTCCAGGACCCATGTGTGCTATGTGGTTAAAATTAGTTGGGTTAGAGATTAATTTATTTCTCATTTCTGGATCTCGTAGCATCTCCCTGTAAGACAAACACCTGTTTAGATACTTTTTTCATGGTCAAGGTAGGTAACTTAGGAAAAAAAATTAATTATACTTTATTTTTAGTTTTTAAAAATAAAAATAGAAGTTAAATTGTGTTAATTAGGATATAATTAGAATAATAAACTCAGTTAATTCATTTTCTTAGAATGTTTTGTTTTTCAATTTTAAATACAATATCATGATTTTGGGTGGGAAATGAGAGTGGACCCTTCCATTTTTTAATTTTCTAGAGCTAGGGATCAAACCCAGGGCCTTGCACACACTAGACAAGTGCTCTACCATTGGAACTACATTCCCAGTCCAAAACAGTCTTTTTATAATACTTATATATCAAGGAACTAATATTTGCTTTATTTTACAGATAATTCTGAACATTTTATGTATATATTTTAAAAAATTAGAAATATTTTTGCATGTAATTGAGATGTGCTCATAAAGAGTTATCTGGAATTCTTAAACATATACAGGTTTACTATATAAACAAATATTATTTATGTTTATTTTGTAAAAAGGTAAACATTTCTAAAATTCTAACTATTCTACATAATACAGAAGTGAATCAAAATATAGTATTTAGGTCCAGTGTATTCTCAAAATTTTGAGAATAATATTTAAATGACATTGACAGGTTGCATTCATCGTTGCAGATTTTTTGTGATGTTAGGAACTGAACCTACATAGTAGGCAAAGATGCTACCACTGAGTTACCCTGATAGCCCTGCAGTTTTCAGTCACAGATGAATGACAGATTTTCAAAATTTCCTTCCAAATCAAATGCAGTATTCCCACCAGATAGTTCTTTAGATGCAGGAAGCACGGACAGATGGTAAGTACAAATTAAACATCTACCTCCTCTGTTGCATCCTTTCCTCCTCTGGGACTCTGAAGGAATAACGTCGCTTGTTGTTGATATTTCTAACCATTTGTTTCCGACTATTATCTGATGTTTCAGGAACTACCAGTTCATCCCCTTCTGTTAAAAGAAAGATAACAAGGAATAATGGTGATGTTTAAATTGCTAAAATACTTTTTAATCCATTAATTTCTATGACAGTAGAATCAATTGAACAAATATATGCAATTCTGATTTTTAAAAGTTATACATTGATTGTCACAGTAAATAAGCAATAATTTTCAATTCAACTGTAAACAGATATAGGCTTATATTAGACAAAGCTTAAAATACATTTTCATTTTTATTTTGATTATAAACATAAGATGAAACAATTTTGCTAGAAGAAAACTATAGTTGGTGTCCTTTCACTTTGGTCACTTCACTTCTCATGCCTACCCTTTCTTCTTTCCCACACTACACACTAGTTTCAGTGGCTTAGTATGTTCAAAAGCTGCCATTGCAGGTTTTCTTTTTCTTTGTGTTGGGGATGGAACCCAGGGCCTTCAGTGTGTTAGGTAAATGCTCTGCCATTAGCTACACACCTCTCGTCCCTCAAAGCTGCTGTTAATAGGCACAATAATCAGACAGACATGCCAAACTATTTATATGAATAATTAAAATTATCTTTACATAATAAAGAATTCCTTGCAAAATTTCATCTATGACATGTGGAATAAGGAATTCTATTTTCACTATCTTCCTTTATTAAGGTCAAGAATCTTTGCTATTTCCACTCTCCTGACCTTGACGGAGTAGATCCAATCTTATGCAAATATTTGGAGTTCATCTATGAAATAGCATACAAAATTAAGTATAGGGTCTTAGAAGTTTAACCTTAAGTTTCATTAGCTACATGATAAATCCATCCAGGTAGGAATTATTCCTAAAATCTGAATGTGCTTTCTCAAGTCATACTGGGATAGCCTTTCAGCAGACTTTTAAATCTCCAGTTCTGGGGATGGATAAAAACACTGAATCAGAAGCCAAACAATTTGTTTATTTTACTACTTGAAATAAAAACAAACAAAAAAAAGACAATAAAAATAAACTTTTGATGGATTTTTGTAAATAAACTAAAGTTTACTGGAGGAATATGGGAGGGAGTATTAAGATAATCCCACTACCTATAAATAATTGATATAAACATTTTAATATTTTTCTTATGGCAATATTTTCACTTATATTTAATTCAATTCAAATGTTATTTTAAATACAAAGTACACTATAAGTGCATCTTCATTAAACATATTCACTACAAAAGATCAGAAATTTATGAATACGTTGGTTAGGCAGAAATTTGTTGCTATGGAGTAAGAATGACTTTATTATATAGAAAAGGGCACAATATTCATTAAGAGATATTTTAACTGCTCAGGCCCACAGTGATGACATTTACTTCCATGTGGTCAATTTCCCTGGCATTTTGTACACGGTAGCTAATATCTGGTGTGATAGCCTTACTTTACTACTTTGTGACTGGCCACATGCCTTTCTCTTGTCAGTAACCATTAGGGTTCCCCTTCCCTTCCTGATTCTGGGCACTCTTCTGATTTTCCTCTTCCTTCTGTTTCTTTCAATGTTATCATCAGCACTTGAGAAGTGCTCAACCCTCTGCTGGAGGCACCCCTGGCTGGAGGTGGATTCCTGGAGCCCCAAGTGGAACTCTGGGTGAGTATCTACAATTTCATGCTGCTAATTTTGGTTAAGTTACCATATTAAAAGTACAGAAGACACATTCAAATATACCTTCTCTACTTACCTAGGAACTCCTGAGAAAAATAACAAGGTAGGTCAAAATCAGATATTCTGCTTATACAGCTATGTGACATTTAAACACAGTTACTTTTGTTCAACACTTTATCTTAATATATTAACAGTCTGACAGTCACCAAGATCACACACTCTAGAGTGAGATACACCTGAGTTTAAATCTGTACTTGGCACTTATTACTCATGTGACCTTGGGAAATCAGCCAAGAGATAATATTTCCACTGAAGCTATCCAGTTAATATAAGTATTTTCTTACCTGCCATCTTATTTTTGAAATATATTAATCTAATGGTCTCCAACCCTAAAAGGTTTAATGAGCCGTCAATGTTTAAAGGTCGAGCCTAAAATAGTAAAAAATAAAATCAGTATTTCAATAAAACCTTTAAGACTTAAATGACAAACTTTTGACCTATTTATTAAGTACAACTGTTAAGACCTTTCATTTATCTACTTTTTTTGGGGGGGGTTACCGGGGATCGAACTCAGGACCTTGTACTTGCAAGGCAGGTGGCGGAACTACTGAGCTAAATCCCTGGCCCTTTCATTTATCTACTTTATTGTTTGTTTGTTTTTTTGGTACCGGGGATCAAACTCAATCCTTGCGCTTGCGCAGCAGGCGGCGCTAAATCCCCGGCCATCATTTATCTACTTTAAATTAAGAGTCCTCTTGGGAACAAAATCAACAAGAAACGATAATTCTGACTGGGAAGGCACAGTAACTAATTTGAACAAATTTATAATAATACTTTGAAAAAAGATTATCCTGGGCAAATAAATAAAATTATGTCAAAATACACTTAAACCTTAAATTTGACTTTGTAAAGCCATTAGTGAGCAAATAATTATATTCAGGCAATAGCAACATAGCTGGTATATGAATTCATATCACCAAATAATAAATGCCCACAAATGATGGAAAAGAAAGTACAGATGACTGTATAAAAAGAAAGGTCCACTGGTAAACGGTGATGGAACTGGTTATATGGAACCAATAAAATTGAATTCCTGCTTTGAGTTATATATATAAAAGAAAAAAGAAAAACCAATTCTAAATGAATTAAAGACAGATATGGAACAAGCAAAACTTTAGAACATTTCGAGAAAATGATCATGAAATAGAAAAGCTTCCTAAAGAAGAGAAAAAAGACAAATCTAAAGGACAAGGAAAAATACGATTAAAGTAAAATTAATAACTTCTGTTCAGTAAAATACACCATAAACAGAAATGCTATAGATAGGTCACAAACAGGGTCCATTTCTAACCCCAGGACCACATTATATAATGATATACAAAAATTCAAGAAGAATAATATGAAAAATCCAAGGGGAAATAATAAGAAAAATATATACCAGGCATTTCATGGAACAGGAAATATGAACGATGAATAAAAGATTCCCAATCACACAGTAATCAGGGACATGTAAATTAATAATTCAATGAGATGCCAACTTCATATCTATTTACACAACTATGAATTCTGACAATAGCAAGTCTTAGAGAGGATGTGGGTTAAAAACTCTAATATGTTGTTGATGGGAATATCACTTGGTATTTTCATATTAGAAAATAAGATAACACTCTCTCACAAAGCTGAACAATTGCATTCCTTGTGTCCCATCAGTTCTACTTCTACACACAGGACTTAAAGAAACTCCTGAATGCCTACACAAACAGACATATACAGTCTCATTCACATCTGTAAAAATCTAGGAAATAAATCAAATGTCTGTCAATCACAGAATAAACAGTGACATAGTCAACAGACTACTGTAGTGAAAAAGCAATGAAGTGTAGTACATGTAGCAATGTGTGTGAATCTTTTTTTTGGTACCGGGGATCAAACTTGGGACCTTGTGCTTGCGAGGCAGGTGGTAGCACCACTGAGCTAAATCCCCAGCCCGATGTGTGTGAATCTTATATACACACTGAGCGAAGAAAGCAGGGCAAAACCCAAAACAAAACAGTAACAACAACAAAAAAAACTCAAACCAAACACAGACTGTAGAGAGTCCAAATTTATAAAGCAGGGGGTACTTTTGTTGCATTAGGTATACTTGAAATAGGGTGAATATTTAAATTTTTAAAAATGATTACAGTAAAAGACATCTTGTCCTTAATCCCCCTCAAAATCCTATCCCTCACTTCCAACACACTTAGCCCATTGTTTTTGCCACTTTTGGAAGCAGTTCTAGAAGTCCTCTTTTGTGTCTTTAATTGCACGGTTATAGCTACCTCAATGTCCTGAATTGATTCAAAACATCTACCCTTACGGTCATTTTAACTTTGGGGAAGAGTCAGAATTCACACAGTGCCAGATCTGGTGAATAAGGTGGACAAGGACACACTGAAATGTTTTCACAAGCCTCTCTTCCAATTGGCACTGGGCTGCAGCATTCATTGTATTTTTCTTAATCACACTTCGAAAGACAGGAAGAGGACTTCCAGAACTGCTTCAGAAAGTGGCAAGAATCATGGGATAAGTGTGTTCAAAATGAGGGGGAGCATCCTGAGGGGAATTAATGGCAATGTGTCTTTTACTATAATTAAACATTCACCATATATTTTGACTCTACCTCATATGTGACAAAATACACAAGAGCATTTTCACTACTGAAGTAGTTTTAAATTGGGGCACATTTTAAAATATAATCTTGGCTACTTTCTTTCACCTAGTCTTCTAAATTGCCCCTCAACTAATGATTCACATGCTACAAGTACTATATACAGTCAAATGAAAGTATTACTCTTGATTTTTGCACTTATATAAATTTGCTTTACCTTATGGAAACAGAAAAATGTTAGTGGAAAATATATTTTACTAGGAATATGTGAAATCTCTATTTTTAAATCATGAGACACCTAAACACACTTTGGTTCTAAGTTTAATCATTTTTCTCCTGGGTAAAATCTATCCTCACAAGATTAAACACCATATAACATTATGTGAAAAAGTAATAATTAATAACAATCAAACACTCCCTCAGAAATCTTTAATCCAAAAGCAGAAGATAACAGCAACACTTTATAGATTGTAGGATATACTATAGTTTTTCTTTTTTTGGTATTGGGGATCGAACTCAGGACCTTACGCTTACGAAGCAGGTGGCAGAACCACTAAGCTAAATTCCCAGTTTGGATATACTTTAGTTTTTCATCATGATACCAATCATACCTAATTGATTTGATTGATTGCCTACTGGAGATTGAATGCCTTTGGACTGAGATACATCCCCAGAGCTATTTACTTTTTATTTTTAGACAGGGTCTTGCTAAGAAGTTACTGGGATCAAACTTGGGATCCTCCTGTCTCAGCCACCCAAGAGTGCTGGGATTACAGGCTTGTGCCACCATGCCCAGCTCAATATAGAAAAACTAAAAATGTAATACAAATAATATGGTATTGAGCTATCTTCATAAAATTCATCAGTTGTATTTAATGTGAAATTACCTTTTTGAGAGGAAGAGTCTGAATCCATTCCATGGAGTTCACATCAAATATATCAACTGCATTTTCACTGTATACTGAGAGATAAGGTGCATTGTAACCTGGAAGAAAGGAAAAAGGTAACAGCTTTGCTGCTTATTTTGAAGTATTAAGCCCCAAACATTTGAAAGGTCTATCCTAAGTAACTGCACAGTGGAAACTTCCAAATCCTATTGTTATCATGTAAGAGCCACATTAAAACATTTTTGAAATAAGCACAGCATAAATTGTAAAGGAAGAATTGGCATACCCATCATCCTGATTATATAGCACTTCTAATACAGAAGACTTATGCTAACATTAGCCCAATAAAGAGGTTACATTTTAAAGTATCTGACTCTTAAAGTAGTTATTAAGAGTGAAACAAACTTACAAAGTAGAGAAATCTTCAGGTTAAGTGTTCTAGACCCAGTTAAAAATGTGTAATAAAGTACCTGAACACAGTTACCTGAATATGGTAGATGCTCAATATCTATTGGTTGAAAAACTGAACATTAATAGTGACACAAATAGATTAAAATTATTTAGCTAAACTAAGGTTATAGATTAATTACTGACAAAGCTATTAAAAATTAAATCAGTCTAACTCGTACTCTACATTAGAATACTTTGAATTTTTATGAGTTACAAACAGCACTCATTCTACATACTGTACTACAAGTAAGAGTATGTATTTCAGAAGAAATAAAACATTAAAAATAGTTAAATCTGGGTGGGTTGAGATTAGACTTTTTTCATTCTTTTAATATAGATTTCCTGATTTTTCTGTAATAAGTATTTCTTGTCCTCCTAAACATTCTTCCTCTGCACTTTACAATTAATGGGCCCCAACTCCATCATTCCTTCTCTGTCCTGTTAAGATGGAAGAGGTTTCACATCTCCTTCCTCAAATAATTTTTCTGTGTTATAAACTCCATCCTCTTTGGCCCTCTTGGGGATCTTACTGTATTTTCTGTATTTCCGAGATAAGACAATCTTTCCCTAGGGGTTCTTTCCTATCAGTATTTAAGCATACCCATGTATCTTCCTTTACAAAGAAAACAATTTGGATTAGCTACTCCTTCTACATCCTCATCTGAATGGTGAATCTGCATGGATTTCCTTCTCTATTCATGGAGTATCACAGAAATCATGACAGAGAGTGGTTCACTGGATATAGTGGATAATATTATATAGTGGATATTCATCCACTGGATATTATATAGGACTTCCTCAAGTTTTCTGAAAAAGCTCTCTACCTCTCCTATGGTATCTTAGATCTGCTATCATGGCACTTGTCTTCTACTACTGTAACTTTTGTTTTTACCATGAATCTCTTTTACTGCACCCTATGCTCTGTGAAGGTACAGTGTGTCTATTTTGCTCATTGAGACATCTCATATAGTAAAATCACATGTATTCAATAACAATTGAATTATTATTTAACAATAACAGTATTCAATTATTTGTTAATGTCTTAATATTTCTTCAGAGTGAAATAAGCAATTTTGTTTATCTAGATTAAAATATAAAACTGAGTAACATTGCTTCTAGATGCTACATCATGCCTTTTATAGAACTGATTAAACAATTTACTTCGCCAGAAAAAGTCTTGTGAGCTACTGATACAGCACTGTATTTTTGGGGACAATGAAGAGATTCAGAGCTATTTTTTTTTTTTTTTTTGGTACCGGGGATCGAACTCGGGTCCTTGTGCTTGCGAGGCAGGCAGCGGAACCACTGAGCTAAATCCCTGGCTCATTTAGAGTTATTTTGATAAATACCATAGGATAAAAAAAAATCCATTTCAGAAAAACATCTGTATTAAGTATGCAATGTGAACGTCAATCTTGTTTGCTTAGGCTTAACTATATATGATTACTTTGGAAAAACAACAAAGTATGTAGGAAACGTCTTAACAATGACTTTTTTAAAAACCTGTTATTAACAATGACTACACTTAGACGAAGTGGAAGAGAAAAGAAAGCAAGAAGGCATAATAAGACAGCCATAAGAAAGTGAGTCTTACAACAAGAGGAAGGATTTGCTGGCCACATCAATTCCTGTTGTCTAGATCTTCGGCCCTGGCAGTCAGTGTATATTCCAATGCTGTTAAAACACAGCAGATATTCTTTACTGGAGATCTCAACTGCGCAGATAGCATCCATTGGTTGATGTGTAATAAATGACAGTGTGTGATCATTTGAATGGAGCATACTGCATGGACTTCCTTCTCCATTCAAGGGGTATCTTAGAAATCCTGACTGAAATCCCACACAGAGTTGTTCACTGAAGACTGCCATCCACTGGACATTATATGGGACTTGAATTTCCTTAAATTTTCTGTGACGGGTCTTGCTCTGAAATAGTTCATAACAGAGGACCTGCCTTTTCATTGCCACACACAGGCATGTTAGAGCTCCATGGCGTACTTTTCCAGAAGTTATAGTTTGACACCCTTTAGTTTCTGCCAACTTGTAAAAATCTGTCTCTCGCCCGTCCAAAGCTGACATAGGAAAAAGTCGTACATGACGATTTCGTCCTGAGATCACTGCAACAAGCTGATCACTTGGAATGAGTTCAATCTGATGAATCTTCTTATTGTCACCAACTCTAATAATTTCTACACACAGAAATAATAAATTAAATGCAAAATAGTTTTATTAATTATACTCCCATTATTCTCAAAAAGATATGTCGATTTATAAAAAGGATACAGATACACATACAGAAGAATAAGTCAGAAATCATAGAAAAAAAGGAAGATAATTAAACCCATTATAAGACCATTTAACTCACCTATTATAGGCATTAAATTTAGCACTGAGAACTCTGGTATCCAGGACAGCCAAAGCAAAGAATTCTTGTGTAAAAGCATGCCAAGACTTCAAGAAAAACCTTTTTACTGGTACTATATTCTAAAGACCTTCACCTGTTTTAAAAACTGAGTAACTAGTAATTCTTATTTCTATGAAGGTGTTTCTATGGATAACAATGAAGTTTAAATAAATAGATAATTTGACACCAAGATAGACTTATAATACTATAATTATGAATACGAAATTCAATTGATTTCTCTTTGTTTCAACTTGCACTTAATTTTGTCCTAGGAAAAAAACCTATTATATGAAACTATGGGAATAAAACTGAAACAAAAATATTTTAATGGCTGTTACTTCTTATAGGACTAATAAAGCACGGGAAAAGCAGGTTGTAGCTTTTTACCATTTACCATCTTTAGAAATAAGATCTGAGTTCATACAGGAGTACTACTAAACAAAATGACACAGAGATACTATGTGCTTGAAGTTTTAGAATCTAAGGGGATTACAGAAATTTAATCCTTTGACTTAGAAATATTTTCAAATTTTGCCTAGAAATTTCAGTTTTGGAATAATAAGAGCAAACTTTTCTCATTTTAGAATTTAGACTCCAGAATTTTCTAACATATGATTTAAAATTACTCAAAAAATAATTTGATTTTCTCTTACCATCTTTGGTGACATGCACAACAAATAATCCTTCTTCATTTCCCAAAGCTATCCTTTCATGATCTATATAAGACACATATATAAAATATTTTTATTAGGCAGAGAACCACATAAAACAGAATAAATCAGATAATAAAATTTGGTGCAAAAATGGAAGTAATGAAAATATAACAATTAACACTATGCAATCTTTCAGATTACAGTGGTAAATACCTCATATAACATTTAAATACCTTATATAATATTAAATACCTCAAATAACATTTAAAAATCTGTATCAATACCTATGAAAACAAGCAAACGTTTATCTAATAAATGATTAAAAAGAGAAAAATCTAGTTTTTTAGTGGCTTAGGTCTAGTTCCATGTGTTGTTTTGAGAGGAAAGGACTGTGGAAAGTATTTGAACCCTGCTATAAAACTTCTCAGTAGTTACTTGAAAGTAACAAAAAGTTAAGTGTGTAAGTAATTGTGTAAGAATATGGCAAAAATTTAAACTATCAGATATTAAACTTGCCATTTACTGAGGGCATTTTAACTGCGGGGTACTCTGCCTTACGTATTCCATGTTTTTTAAACTTCTCAATAACCTTAGAAAGGTAATTACTGTCTATGTATTGTATGTGAAACTTAAGCTCCAAGAAATTAACTTTTCTAATTCACCCAAGTGGAAAATAGACGAATAGGTTAATCTTTAGTACTGTTGGCTTTTTTTTTTTTTTTTTAGAGAAACACTTTATTTTTTAAATTTTGTTTTGGTACTGGGGATTGAACTTGGGACCTTGCACTTGGAAAGCAGGCGGTGGAACCACTGAGCTAAATCCCTGGCCCCTAGCAGTGTTGGTTTTTCAGAAGAAAATACATGTCTATTATAAAGTATAACAGCTGAAAAACAAATAATATAGGTCTCACTTGTTTCAATAAACATTTACTGAACATCTGTGATAGAAGGGATATTATGTTGGCCACTGGGGATTTCTAGACAAAAGCCAATTCCAGCTCACAAGGTAGATCAGTAAACAATTATGAAAATATAATAAATAATATAAATTCATACCTATGATTGCAGCAGCCTGGGTTGTTTTAATAAGAGGCAGAGCGCTGTCATAAGCCTCTTTGGGAACATAGACTGAGCGGTCTCTGAATTTGTTTTTCTTCAAGATCTTGTGCAATTCACTGAGCACTCCTACCCACTTACTCTTCTCATTCTCACTGTCGGCCAGCATCAGGATTGAACATTTGTTATTAGGCGCTGAGAGTTGTGAAGCTGTGACCTGGGAAAATTTAATTAATATTCATGATATAATGGTGCTGATTTCATGGTATGCTGGTTTGTTTGGCATTCACCAATAGTATGAGCATTCATTAAATGACACCTTTAGCAGCGTTCAGCTGTTCCTAATCAGAAGAACTAGTTCTAACACTAGAATTCATGACAAGATAAGGTAGGAGACACCATTCAAGGTGTTAAGTGTCACTTTTATTTTCCTTGCTACAAAAGTACCAAAACAGCAGCACAAAAAAATGCATTACACAGTCCTATAACAACTGACATTTATAATCACCGAACATCAGATGGGTCTAAGCACTTTACAAGTATTAAACATTTAACCTTCTTAACAACTCCATGAGACAGAAACTGTTATTCAATCTTCATTTTACATATAAAAACTGTGATAAAAAGAAATTTAATTTGTTCAGGGGCACAAAGTAGAGGTCTAGGATCCTATATTCATGCTCTTATGGACTATAGTATACTGTTTAAAAAAGTCATGAATGCTCAGAAATACATTCTCTGGTATTTCATAAAAATAATTTATATTATTAAAGAAGATCACCCAATGAGAAATGTAATTGTGTTGTATACCTAAAATGTACCAATAAAAGAATTTAACAACAACAACAAAAAAAGATCAGATCACTTGAGTTGGTATTTAAACAAAAGTTTATCATTCTAAAACTCAATCAGAATAGTTTTAAATTTTATATATGCAGAATCACCTCTCTCATATATAAAATGCTTTGTTCTAAATATGTATCCTTCTTAGGCATCAGTGACAATAAAAATCACTCTGCCAATCAGCTGTAGCTAAGTGGGTATCTACAGGCTCCCGGGTGGCCGAGGAGAGAACAAATAATTGACAGTGTGGAAACTGAGGGACTAAGTACTACCTCTGATCTTCAGACAATCAGGAGACATGTACCAAGCAGATGGGTCTAACAACAGGGTTGGAAAAAAATTTCTATCTTAATTTACCCTTTCAAGATCATAGGGTAAATAGCCTCCAACTGTCAACAATTCCTCCTATGGATTTCAACCTTTTGAAATCAAGAAGCAGAGTCCATTTCCCTTCCCCTTAAATGGGAGACTCACAATTTTGACCAACAGAATGCTGAAGAGTTATCAGGCCTGTTTTGGGCCTATTCCTTACAAGGCCTGGCAGCTTCTTTTGCTTTCTTGGAAGCCAGCCATCAAGGATGGGAGACTGAGATCACTCAGCTAACAGTGACAAGGCCACAGATGAAAGGCTGTTTTGGATATTCCAGGCCCAGATAGTGCAGTCAGGTGAGTGTCCTTAGCCAACACCCTAGAAGTGTCCAGCTAATTCATAAAAAGGTGAAAAATCGCTGTTGTGTAAGCTATTAAATTTTTAAATAGTTGTTATAAAAAAGTAAGTAACTAAGGGCCAGGGATTTAGCTCAGTGGCGCCGCACTTGCCTCAAAAGTGCAAGGTCCTGAGTTCAATTCCCAGTACCAAAAAAAAAGGTAAGTAACTGAAACACAATTTTAAAAACAATAAAAAGAGAAAATTCTATTTTTTAAAAATTCAAGAAAACTCATATTTATCCAATTTTCCATGTGATAGTATTTATTTAAAAAGTCAATCAGGATTCAACAATATTATCTAACAGGAAAAATATTTTTAGAAGCCATTTTACATGCATCAATTTTCTAAATATTCAAGTATGAGATGATATGAAATATATCAAAAATGTAAAATTTAGTTGTACTCATAAGTTTATGATTTATATGGAGGTACAAAGCATACTGATTAAAAATAAATGAGTGATCAAATTATAGCACACACTTACTCTAAATATACAAGGTATATCTTTACGACTTGCATGAATAACATCAGAAGCCAAGACAGAACTCACAGAAAATTCTTCATCTCTGAAAGAACAGTGAAACATTTAAAGTTAATACACAGAACGATGTGTGTATGGTTTTGGTTGTATAATCAAATAACATACATGAAGAGATCCTCAAAGTTGAACTGCACAGAATAGTGCATTGAATAAAATGATTTTTCCCCATTGTAACTGATAATACCCAAAGTATTTGTTAACAGTAACTTAACAGTGGTACATTATACAAGAGCCAGAAATAACTGTTGGCTTATCCAAAGATACAGGCCAGAAAGTATATATGAAGAACTGGGATTTGGATCTTACAGTGGGTCTTCAGAGGTCACAGAGGACCTTCTTGCCTCCCATAGTAAGTCTCGTGTGTACTCAACCCAGTTCACCTGACATTTTATTTTTCCTTCAACATCTAAAACAGATTTCCTACATAACAATTCATTCCTTGTGATTTCCTCAATTTTGTTATTGGTACTGTATTTCTTTTGGCCATAAGTCTTGACACCTTAGTCTTTGATTTTTATTTTTAGACACAAGGTCTTGCTATGTTGCCCAAGATGACCTCAAACTTCTGGGCTCAGCTGATCCCCCTGCCTCAGCCTCTTGAGTAACTAGGACTACAGGTGCATACAACTGCACCTAGCCCTCCCTCCCTATCTTTCTACATTCAGTCTCTTAGCAAGTTTTGCCAGATACTGCTTATATTTCTTGCACTGGTCCCTTCATATTCCATATTTGTGGAGAAAATAATACATTTGAGTTACAGATTTTAAATGCTTGTGTGAGGCACAGCTAGAAATGTGGGTTTTGCGTGATGGATGGCTATTTCTGAGCTGGAGATGTGTCTGGGAGTCATCAAAGCAGAAGTTATGGCTGAAGGTATGGGAGAAGATACGATTCCTTAGGGACACTACTTGGAGTTATAAGAAGAGGTAAAAGAGAGTACTCCAAGAATCTGAAAAATAAGATCAGAAATGTCCAATAGATGTCTAATTTAAATGATCCCTCATTCACCATGTTTTCCAAGACCTTGTCTGATCTGAGATTTTATTCCTTTCTTCACAATGGGTTATACTCTGTGCCTTTAGGTGATGATATAAACACTACATCTTAGGCTTCAGATAACCCACAACCTTTAAACCGGTCTTCTAGCCCCAGACACCAGCTTCTATTCCTTGGCTCCTAGCCCCACACACTCAACCTACATGTCAATCTGTTTTATAATTACAACTTACTTCATATATTTAATGATGCTACTATAGCAATATGAGCAAATTAGAAAATCAACATGAAATCAGATCATTTAAGTAAAACCATGGCAATTTTAAAGAAAAACCAGTCTTTTTTATTCCTATGCTGCAATGATATAAACATCTTTCTTTACCCCAAAGGCTTACCTCATGTCAATAACTTGACTAATGACAACACTGGGCTGAGATGCTTTTCCTTCAGTGATATCATACAGAAAGAGTTTGAAGTCACAAACCACAGCCAGGGCCCTCTGCCATCCTTTCTTTACTCCAGCTGGCTTAGGGATCTTAGTTTTGTTTCAGACAGGCACAAACACAATTCAAATGAAAATGTCAGCAACAGCCTCTTTAATTCTTTATGTAAACACAGAATAAAAACTTAAAGATAATATGCACATGGGCTGGGGATTTAGCCCAGTGGTTTCGCCGCCTGCTGCGCAAGCGCAAGGACCCAAGTTTGATCCCCGGTACCAAAAAAAAAAAAAAAAAGATAATATGCACAAATTCAAAATTTGCCACTTTGGTTGGTAAAGTAGCAGATGGGATATGCATGTCATTAATAACATAAGAGAAAAACAGTAAATGACTTTTGCCTTTTACCAAAAGAGTTTCAAATGGCACCATTTTAACTTTTAGAAGTAATTCCATTAATGCAGCACTCATGCTTCTTTACAGCATAGAAGTCAAATCTGGTAATAAGATGAAATTCAGCTTATGTACTGCAAGTATTACTACAAAGACAGCAAGATTACATCTTGAAAATATCTCACAATTCATAAGCATACTCTGCACCTCTCTGGCAAGACTGGAGGTCAAAAACTCCTTTATGGAGATCTCAATATATGTTCATCATAACAGGAGTAACACAGAAAAGTTTGTGACATTTTAGAATTTATTTCCAAATAAAAGCTAAATTTTTGCTTTCAAATCATTACTCTGAATAAAAAAATTAGATGAATTGTATTTAATTTTGTCAAGTACTATGTGAAGTGACTATTTTAATTTGTTGATAAATCTTAAAGGATTGATCTAAACCTGAATTAATGATACTCACTCTAACATGACCTTCATACGCCGTTCCTATTCCTTTCTGTGGGTCTATACCCAGGGGACCTTTTGTCTGCTCAGGAGGAACTGGACATGCAGTTGGAGCTTTGTTTACACAAGTTATATGGCATGAGAATCCACACACTTTGAGAGAGAAAGAACCCAAAACATTAATAAAAATCCACTTAACAACAACAACCACAACAAAATTCACTGAGCACTAACTGCATACAATGTGGTATGATGAATGCTTATATTTTATTTTAAATAAACTTATCATTTGGGAAACTAATTTATCTACCAATCAATAGGAATTTCAATGAGAAACAGTAAATTTTTAATTATTTGTAATATATTGTTCTCTGTTAACATTATAATTCCTACAAAAGTGGTTTCTGGAGTTCTTTCTATTCTAGCTCTTCATCCTACAATGACATGGTATTTGTCCTGAAATTTCTCCTGCAATTGTCACTTATGAACATTAAGCTATCTGACATCTCTGCTACATCTGGCAAGTTTTACTAATCTTGAAAATAAAAATTTTCAATAATTAAAGAGTTATGAACTAAGGGTAAATTTTTGGTATTAATATTCTACATACTTAAACTACAGCTAGGGTAATAATAATTAACACTTTATTTCCTGTGACAATATGACAGGTACAGTTATTATGCCAATGTCATATGTGACTTGCTCAGAGTCACTGAATTCAGAAGTGGCAATGCTGCAATTCAAACCCAGGTAGTCTGGCTCAGAGCCTGCATATTTAGCTATTAATAGTATTGCAATAATCCTTTTATTTGATATTCACATGGTGAATTTGAGATTCTAAAACAAGATGATAAATAAAAACAAACTCATAGGTTTCAATGAAACTGGGTTGGGTGAAAATTAAAGGTTAAAATATTTAAAACAAACTTGTTCGCAGGAGTTATATTTTAACATTACAATTTCTACTCCTAAAAATAATCTTAGAGGATTCTGGAGGAATACTAAGAAAGAAACTGAAGCAATATATTACTGTGAGAATACATACACCTAGGAGAAATGGATTACACATCAGTGACAGGCATTATGAAACTAATAAAGAGGGAAGATAAAGATACTTTCAAAGATAAAGGTACTGTCAAAAACTATCCTAACTTCTCAATTCATGTAAGTGGAATTTCTAACAAGTTACAATTTGTTTTACTAACAAGGAAAAAAAAAATCTCACCTTCAAAGGGTAGTGAAAGCAACAAAGTAAGCATCTATACTGGATCTAATCCAGGGATAAATAAAAATGGCAGGAGTCTTTAGAGCTTGTACCAATTATCATAACATTTACAAAAACCTGTCGGACAAAAGGTGGGGATAGTCCTATGTCCCCATGGCTTTATAAGGTAGGCTTTAAGGATTTGAAGAAAAGACAGGCATAATTTCACAGCACACGATGCCAGAACGTAAGAGAGCCCATACAGATCTCCAAAAGTCCTTATTACAAATACTTTTGATGAATAAAAAATGGTCAAGGATTTAAAAAGCCAGGTATCTGCCCAGGATGCTTTCTGATAAATGAACTGTAAAGTAACAGACAAGAACTGGCTATGGTCCAAAATGAGACAAAGATAGCAATCTGTATAAGTTTCTCCATTGGCTTCAGTCACATGATCCATGGTACAGGCTATTTCTTCTCAGACTACTTGGTTATCTTGTGCTTTTCTTCCCCTTAACTGTGTCTCCCAAGGCCCTGTCCTTGTTCTTTCAATCTATGTGCACATCGTGGATAATGTCAGTCATATCCATGACTTAATACACTCATAACTCTCAAATCTTTACTCTGTAGCCATGACTCTTTTCTTCTGAACCCATGTTATCTAAAGGATAATGCAATCTAGATCTTCCACTTCAGTCCTGAGAACTGACCAAATGTAGAATGCACTGCCTTAGTATGCTGTTAATTTCCCCTTTCCTCAAAGTAGTTAAATACAGGCTAATTGCAGGTGAAGAGAAGACATGCATATGATGGGGAGTGACTACACTTTTAAAGTCCTCCTAAAGGACTTCTAGAGGCCTTTCCAATACTAATAGCAAAAGAGCTAAGAAACAGAAACTAGTATTAGAATTTGAGTTATCAACTTTTTTTGGTCATTTTAATAAGATATGCCAGAAAATTGTATGAGGTAGTTTTGTAGTAGCAAAATGTCATTTGATTAAAAAAAACTATATTTCTAAAATTTAAATAATTTTTATTTTGGAGGCCTTGGAAAACATAAAGTAGTATCTAAACAAATATACTTTGTTTTCTGCTTCAAGGCCTCTGATCCTCTCTCTCTTATCTCTTGGAATGTGAGCTGGCTCCACAAGGGTATGATCTTTTTCGCATTCACTACTTCATCTCCAGTGCCTAGCAGCACAGAGGAAGCATATAATAAACACACAACAGAAAAATCAATGAATAGGTAGGAGAAACCTCTGTTATTAATACTAGGAATAACTATCATTTGAGGCATTGTGGCAGACATTCAGTATTTCTGAAAAGGCACAGGGTTGTCTACTTCTCAATGATTTCTCTAATAAATAATGTTGTAATTAAACAATAGATCCAAGGACAATTTTTGTGTCTTCTGTCACATAAGTCACCAACATTCAACAGATTTTATTTATTTTGGGGGGCCAGGGGTACCAGGGATGGAACTCAGGACCTTGCGCTTGCGAAGCAGGCAGCGGCACCACTGAGCTAAATCCCCACCCCTCAACAGACTTTAGCAAGGTGCTCAGTTTATTATTTACATTCTTGTTATCTAGAGAAAAACACATAATTAAGTGAAATAAACATGGTATTTCTTTTAAAGAGAATAAAGTTATTTGATTACAATTTAAGAAGTAAATATTAGGACAAATAAAGTGGTGCCTATACAAGTCCTATTTTATTTCCATTTTGTTCTTACCTTCACATGAACAGCCTTGTCTGATTAAACCCACCATCAGAGAGGTACACTGATGACATTTGGTGGGAGAAGTGAAAGATTTTACAAAAAACTGATGAGTCTTGCGCTATAAAACAAGTTGATAAAAATATACATTATTTAAGGATTTCCTTAATGTTAGTTAGTCTCTATGCATATATTATCTCCTAGAATGTTTTCTACATACAATAAATTCTTTCCATTTTTTACATCTTAGTTTAATGCTATTTAAATGTTTTATTAGAAATCACTGAGTTAGAATAAGCTAAAATAACACCGTATAAGATAATGATTAAATGATAATTTATTGTTTTGGTTTTACTCATAAATCTTGGTTTCAGGATTTCTTTAAATTCTTCAAATTATTCTTTACCAAGAAGTGAAATTTTGTACATTTATACCTATATAAATACAGTTTAATATGCGTTATACCTTAGGAAGAAGAAAGTATATAACTTTCTTTTTTTTTTTTTGTACTGGGGATCAAACTCAGGACCTTGGGCTTGCAAGGCAGGTGCCAGAACCACTGAGCTAAATCGCTGGCCCTAATAACATTCTTATTTCTACTGTCTATCATGAATTTAATTTTCTAAGAGCAAGAACAAATAATATGCTTCATAAATCTCTTTTTCTTCCACAGACAGAGGCAGTATGATACTTGAGCAGATAAAAATACACTCATATTATTCCTGAGACAGATGGCAGCTTACAATTTCTTATTGAAAAGCCAGTACCTAAAGATTTCTAAGTCTTGGCTGATTTACTGGTGGTAAGCCAAAGATATTTCATCTCTTTGGAATACTCTTGTCCTCTCCAATCACCTCTTAGCATGTTTTAATTGCACATGAATTATAGGAAATGTCCTCTTTTTTTTTTGATACTGGGGATCGAACTTGGGTCCTTGCGCTTGTGGGGCAGGTGGCAGAACCACTGAGCTAAATCCCCAGCTGCACACGAATAGCCCTTTCTCTGCTCCACTGTGTGAACTTAGGAGCAAGTTACACTTGAGTCCTTTGCGTCTCACTTTCTTCATCTATAAAATAGGGTCCATAATAGTATCTAATTCAGAGGATAGTTAAGTTTAAGTGTTATAATAGAAACCTTTCAAACAATGACTGGCACATATAGGCATCAAAAAAACCCATTTACTTCTCTATGAAAACAAATTTGGCCAATCATTTCTCTTTTATACATGTGATTTAATTTAAACCAGTAAGAACTCTCTGTATTCCAATATATGTTAATTCTGATAAAAAATTCTTATGAAGTAATTCTTATTTCAGCTGAGATTAACATCGTATTAACAAAATTACCTAGTAGGGTGTAGGGGTCCTTGCCAGTAATCCCTACACTCTGGGAGGCTAAAGAAGGTGGATCTCAAGTTTGAGCCCAGCCTGGGCAACTTAGTGACAAGTGAAATGAAACAAAGGGCAAGGGAAGTAGCTCAGAGCAAAGGCTTTGGGTTTAATCCCCAGTACTGAAAAAAAAAAAGAGGGGCTGGGGATTTAGCTCAGTAGTTTCACCACTTGCCTCGAAAGCACAAGGACCCAAGTTCTATGCTCGGTACCAAAAAAAAAAAGAAGAAGAAAAGAAGGTTTTTTTGTTTTGTTTTGTTTTTTAAAAACAGAATGATCTGACTACCATTACTAGCCAGGGAATAGGGTGAAACCTTGGAACTTCAAGTAGTCATGAGCTCTGGTCCAACCTCAAACCATTCTATTCTTACTGCTTTGAAGAAAAGTTATCTTAATTATCTTTAAATCACAGCATGCTGCAGACTGTTTGAATCACCTTTGGTGACCAAACTGATATCAGTGACACAGTTAAAGCTTTAAAAAGTTACCAGTTTAAAAAAAAGAAAAAGGAAAAAAACCCATATATTCTTCCTACTATTAGCAGCGGTGATTATTTTCACTCATACAGAATATATTTTCTTTCCAAGCTTTTTTTTTTTTGTAACTTTGAAGAAATCAGTATCAAAATCACAGGAAATACACAAAACAGAAGAAATCTATTCTCATTGTTTTGGGGAACATGCTATACTTATAACAGATTGAATACCTTAGTTGGAAGGCCAGTTGAACCCGGGCATCCCTTTTTCCTTAAGGTCGGTGTGTGCCCTGGAAGTGGAGCTGAGTCTGCAATCTGAAGCCGGAAGGCAAAAAGGAAATAAACATCATAAAAACTCCATTTATTTCAAACACAACTAGTGAGAAACCAAAGTAAATAAAAATAAAATGTCAGTAAGTAAAAAAAGTTTTCCTAATTAATCTCAAATTAAAGCTCTCATAGTAGTGATAACTTAAACTTTAGCTTACAATATCTACAAACGAAAAACTTTTTCAATTAGTAAATATTATTCCAATCTGGAAATTTAAAAATAAGTAATTTGAAAAAGAAAATCCATAGGAAAACACAAAAATTATAGCTGGTAGCCCACATCAAAATGAGGGTATTTTTCACATTCATATGAATTTGCCATATTGCTCTTTCAAAAAGTATCTGATTTTAACAAGTTATAATAAAAATATTTAGAAGATTATTTTTAAACACCTGACTTCCATATTTAGAAGACATATTAACATACATAGAATTTAACTCTGGTTTTGAATACACAGATAGAAATTAGTGAAATTTTTGTGCAGAAATTAATTTTTCAAATAAAGGAGTTATCTATTATTAGAATTCTGAATTTCATACAAGTTTAGCTATAAACCATATCTTTATTAGCAAGTAAAAAAGTCTTATTTTATGGGAAATTTCTTTGAATGAAAAGAATCTGTGATTTATTGGATATTATTGTGGAGAAAAGGACATTGTTTAATTAATAAAGCATAAATAAATAAGGAACTAACTTTTAGGATGTTAAGCAAGTAATCATGAAAAAAATAGCTAATCCTTACATAAAGTTACAAAATATTTAAAAATATTAAAAGATAAATGGATGATCCTTCTTTTCCTGTTACTATACAACCTCCAAAAATAGACTATTTTACATATACTATAATGTTAAGATGGAATTCAGTTGAGTTTCTCAATTTTCTTTGAATTGTAAGTTTAGTTGTACTTTAAATTTTACTTTTGAACAGTTAAAAAAAATTTTGAACCCAACATATAAACTTAATATTTGAGAAGTATAGAAATTCAATAAGAACACTGACAAGCTACATAAGAATTAATGAAAAAGAATTAACAAGGAACAACATTATTACTAGTATTCTATAGAAAGTTGAAGAGAAATTATTAAAGAAGTAAGGGTGCAAGCTGTAAGAACAACAGAGTTTATAAAGACCAGCAAAGCATAATAAAAGTAAGTATTTAAAAAGGATCTCATGCACCATAGCAACAAAAAATTTATCTAGGAACAAATCTAATAAGCAGTATGGAATATAATAGAAGTAATGAAACTTTATTGAAAGATGTAAAAGGATTCCTAATTACTATGTACACTGTGTTTGTTCATAGATGGAAATGCCTAATATCATGAAGATGTTGATTCTCCTCAAATAAATCTATAAATTGAATGCAATTCCAATCAAATGTTCCACATGGAACTTGACAAGCTAATTCTAAAAGTAATATGGAAAACTAAAGGGTCAAGAAGAAAAAGAATAAATTGGGTGGGGGTGGATCACCATACCAGGTGTCAAGAATTATTTCAGGGTTGCAGTAATTAAGAAACTACGTCAGTGCAGGAATAATCAAAAGAACAGTGGAAAAGAACAGGGAAGCCCCCACCAGACCCATGCAAAAAAGCAAAGGTAGTATTATAAATCAAAGGAGGTGAAATAAAGGAGAGCTAGTTGTTTATGGGGCAAAAAGAGATTAGATCCCTATTTCCCATTATTCATAACAATAAATTTCAGTTTCATTAAGGTCCTAAACACATAAGAGCAAAAATTTTAAACTTTTAAAAAGAAAATATGGAAGAAAATCTTTATAATCTCTGCATGAGGACGAACTGTTTTAAAAAGACACAAAAAGCAGAAGTCATAAAGGAAATAAGAGATAAAACTGACTATTTTAAAATGAAAAGACGTACAAGACAAAAAGATATCACAAAGTTGGGCCAGGGATTTAGCTCAGTGGTTTCACTGCCTGCTGTGCAAGAGCAAGGACCTGAGTTCGATTCCTGGTACCAAAAAAAAAAAAAAAAAGATATCACAAAGTTAAAAAATAAGCCATGGACTGGGAGAAAATATTTCCAAAGCATATAGCTGGCAAAGAGGTAGTATTCAAAATATATATAGAACATGTCATAAAACAACTGAAAAAAATCAAGAAAAATAATTGTAGAACAATGGGCAAAGGATATGAACAAGCAAATCAACAACCAAGAAACAAAAAGATGCTGAAGAACATTAAGAAATAGAAAAAACGCAAATTAAAAACAAAAATGCCACTTTATACACTTATCAAACCAGCAAAAGTTAATGTCTGACAGTACCAAGGGTTGGTAAGAATGTGGAGAAATGGGGAACTCTCATATACTGGTGGTGGAAGTGAAAATGGGTCCAACCACTATGGAAAACAATTTGTCAAGATCTAGTGAAAGTTGAAAATCTACATACCACACAACCCAATAATTCCACTTATATATACTAAACAAGCTGCAAAACTTCCAAAGCAGATAGATACTAGGATGTTCACATCAACATTGATTGTAGTAATTAAAAAATTGGAAGCTACCTAAATATCCAACAATAGAAGAATAGATAAATGGTTGTGGCATATTCATATAATAAATGAACTAAATGGACATGTGTCTATATAAATAAACCTAAAAAGCACAATGAAAAGAAGCTGCAGAAGGATACAAGTGACATTTGTGTAAATTTTAAATATATGACAAACATTACCACATAGGGATTATGAATACAAATAAAATAAACATGTAAAACCAAGGAAGGTAGAATGCACACCAGCTATATTTAGGTATGTCTGGGAAAGAAGAGAGGGGAATGGTACAGGGGTGGATGTTTGAACTGTTTTTGGAATATTTTCTCTCTTTGAAAAAACAGGACAAAATGTTCGTATCTGTTAAATCTGTGGGTAACAGTTACAAGGGTGTTTATTATATTATTCTGTATATGCCTGAGATATTTAATCATTAAAGTAAAAGTACATTAACTCCCATTATTAAAACAATTGTGACTAGAAAATCAGAGGGTCTCAATCAACTTAAACCAATCTGAGGGCTCTGACACAGGGAGACAAGTCAGAGCGAGCTGTAGCTCACACTTAACTGCAGACAGCTCCTCAAGACTGGGTGTTTACTTCAGTGGGAAGTAAGACCCAGCTCTGGAGATTACAGGCAGAGAAGGTGAGGAGCTGTGCATGAACTGTGGTGCTCCAAGAAGAACCAGGACTTGACTGTGAGGCAGGACAGATGAACTGAGGCAGGGCGTACTCTTCTGACTTGTGTAGGAAATGGTTCAGATGCTATAACTGGCCAAGTGGCCATTTAAAGCCATTGTCTAACATGAAGTGTAAACACAACATAGTTTTTTGTGTAGTGTTAAAAGGGATGATTTAGTTGAGTGAGTGTCTGGCCGATTTAGCAGTGAGAATAAACTATTAAGTGGCCATTAGTGGCAGTTTCAGTTTTAAGTTGTGCTTATGATGTAGCAGATGAGTTATATCATGGCTTATTAAATTAGAAGAATTAAAATATGAGAATGGCATCTCATGGCCATATGCCTACAGAGTTTATGATAATTCCAACATTTACATAAATCTATTCTCTGTTCTACACATTTCTCTAAGTAAAAAGACTACATAGTTAATAAACTTTTGCCTATTTCAAGTGAATATTTGGGGACAAATTTATACTTTATTTTCCATTTCTGTATAATTATCAGTTAAATGTAATGATCTCCAATAAACTAACTTATGACACACTGTATTTGATTAGACAGAATTCACTTTTTTTTCAATTCCCTCTTTCCTGACACAAGTGTAAAGTTGGGGAGCAAGGCTGCTCCAATGAGGCACCTTAACTGGCTCAGCTTCACTAGAAGTGGAAGGAGATGTGGACCTTGACTGGTTGTAAAACTTGATGCTCGGGTTCCATACATAAGTGTTCCCAACAGGATCAGTCTAGGAAAATAAGTCAGGAAGAAAAAACCCAAAAAATCACTTTTAAACAAATGTGCAGCTCTTAGCAAATGTCTGTAAGGCACAATCATGACAACATTTCTTGAGAAACAAGGATAACAAACTTTAGTTTGAATATTCACATTAGGGATGTGTCATTATCCAAAAACACTATCTTTAATGTAAACAACCTGATAAAGACAAGAACTTGCTGAAGTCTGACAGCAGGCTTGCTCCTTGTACCATGTGATTATGTGTAGATGGAAGCTGAGCATACCACTTTATACTGCCTGGTACTGAAATTAACATATGCTGCTCTAAGTCATTTTGCTAGTTGGTGATGCAACACCACATCAGCAAGCCTCACCTCTCCACTCAATCCAAAGCGGACAGTTAAAAGCATTTATCAGCACCTTTTAAGGCCCTCTGAAAATGTGACATTATGACGGCGGGATATTGGAGAAAGAAAAATCCACTATCCATTTCATCTGTAATTACACAAATTACTGACTTATAAGGCTTTTAACACATTTCTTCAGCTCTTCTGAAGAATTGCTGTCATTTGTTAAGTCTTTTCCTTCTAACTTGATTTTTCTCTTCAACAAAAATGAAAGAAAACAATATAAATGAGGATAATTTTAAAATAATTTTCTTAGCTGGATGAGGAAAACCTGGTTATATTCAGAAGAAGAAAATATTTAAAATAAAATTATAAACCAATTCTAATAATGAAAGTTATCATATTTTTATAGCTGCATGTTTTAAGGTAAAGTCAATTTCAGATTAAATAAAGTTAATTTTTAAAAATTAAAATATATTACAGTAATATTTTGAAGGTGACACTAATTTAGCATATTTAAAAAACTGAACTATGCCATTTACAATGATGCTTTTTTAAAAAATCCACCATCCATATATAACTGAAAAATTATCACTTTACTTTCAAAAGTATGTTTCTCATAAAGATAAAGAACACTTGATAAAGATGATTAAACTCACGGCAAGAAAAAGTTTGAATATCAAACTTTAAAAAAATTTCTAAGTCTCCTAAAAAGATTCTACTAGAAGTAGACAGCTAATGCTATTAATAAATTTTAATATTTCATTTCTTTTCTGGATTGCTGCCTGTATAAATAGCATCTCAACTGTGTTTAACTATACAAACAAGAAAAATACAGTTTTACATAGTCATCAAAGTTTTAATTATTACAAACAGAAATGTGGTATTCAAGATGTTACTAGTTTTAACTATAAATGCTTACCATGCATTTGTAATCAGTGGCTTATTCTAACCATTAAAAAGCAATTAAGTCAATTAAACCTTCAGAATATTCAACTATTACAGGCTAAAATTAAAAAGTCTGAAATTAATTTTAATAATTAATTTGTAATGATTCAGATATAGTATAGCACTAAAGAAACTGATTAATAACATTAGTTATTTTTATACAATGATTTTAAATCCTTAAAAACAAATATAATCATTATTATATTTAAACCATGGAAGGTAAAAAAATCCTTGATGCATGAAAAATATGAATTAATAATGCAGCAAAAGTTACTATATATCAAAAGGGGATGTTAATTTAATAATGGGATTTATGGTTATAAAAAGAATGATAAAAAGAGAAAACGGTAAAAAGCAATAAACAGCTAATATTTACTGGACAGTATATTTTGATATTGTCCAAAGAAAAATGTTGGAAATAAATTTCAACAGAGCACACCAATTTATTCAATATTTGTAAGCTACAATCTGCCCAGAAAAAGTAAATATGGAATATTCTTATATAGGGACCCTTTTCCAGGATTAAGCAATTGTCTTTTGCCTAAGTAAGCATAAGTTTTTCTGATGAAGAGGCATTGGAGACATCCACTGTATCTAGTGTCACTTTTACTTACTGTTCTACTATGCAAAAAAAGAAAAGCTGAATATTTGCCATATTGTCTACAATGCATAATGTCATCCCTTAATCTATCAGGATTTTTCTTGTAAAAGATCTGCACAATGTTTTTCTAGAATACAGTAAGTCCAGACTTACAAACATTTCAGTTGTGAACTTTCACAGCTGTACTGTGTAAGACTCATTTTGTCGGCTTAGGAACGAATCCGACTTAGGAACAATTCTCCCAGAATGTAAATGTAAGTCAGGGACTTACTGTAGTATAATAAAATAGAAAACTTTTTTTCCTGGCCACGATCACATAGCTGTCTGATTTTTAGGTGAGATACTTATTAAGAATTCCTCAAAATATAAAAAGAACTAAATCTATTTCTCGTGAATATGTATCTAGAAGCCTTGCCTATACCCCAAATAATACAGATTTGTACAGTTACACTCTAAAAAGAAACTTGGTTTTAAAATAAAAGTCCTCAAAACTTGATATGGATTATAAATGGCCAATCTAGTAAAAAAACAGCTTGGATCTAGTATGTTGTTTGTATTGCTAAAAACTGTATAAAACTAAGTTCAGAAAAAAATATTTTTATCAATTTTTTTCTATGTCATTTAGTTAGAAGTATTTTGGAAGCAAAAGACAAGTAATTTAATAATTTTGAATTGAGAACACAACCTTAGAACATTTAGTGAAATATTCATTTCTGTTAATTGAATTTATGACAAAACAGTATTATAGTAATATTGTATTTGGAAAATACTAAATATATCATCCTAAAATAAATTACAATAACAAATTACTGAAAGTTATGAGTAATAAGTGTAATAATAACGTAACTTGGATTTCTATAAGGAAATTTCTCCTCATTACTTCAGTTTGAACAGACAGATCTGAATATCTGCTCTAGAGAATTATAACTGTTCTAAGAAAATATAACAGAAGGTTAGACTACACGTTGGCTTTTTATAATCTCTGCTCCAAACTCTAAAGGAACAATCTAAAATGAGACATTCAGTACTTTTCACTATAAATGGAAGCACTACAGAGCTCTATCCATTTGTATTCAGACATTTAAAATACTATTCCTAATAAAACTTTTTAATACTATGCTTAATTAACACCACTTGAAAAGAACATAAATATTCAAAGTATAAATGAGGTGAAATAGCATATTAAAATAAGGATATGGCAAACATTATTTAATGTTACCTCATGATTTCTATGACATCTCACAGTGAAAGAACTTAACTTCATATAAGTACTGTATACTTACTTACCTAAAAACATGGTATATAACATGAAGTCATATGCCACTTTTAGATTCAAGGCCACTGTTAAGAATGGTAAGTATTTGTATCCTACTGAAGAAATATGCTCATGGTCCATGGACTACTAATGCTTCTCACTATGCCACTGAGATATTTCTATTTAATTAATGAATAATTCATAATTCTTCAACTATCTCCACACACATTACTACTTTTTATTGGTTTACTTTTTATTTATCAGATACTTAGCTCAGGAAAAACTGAAAGAAGCTAAGAAAGCAGATAATCAAATCTACCGCCTCTGCATGAAAAAAGAATCATATGTAACTTTATGTACATAGGTTTTAATTTTTGCCTTTTCATATCCTATAGATAAAAGACACAGAATTAAAAGTAGGAACCTTTATAACAGCCATTTCCCCCAAACGCTGCAGGTGGCCAATGCTCAAAGTCTGCATGGCATGTGAGATGTAAATAATCCATAATAAAATTAACCAGAAAACAAAATCTTTTTGAATGACAATCTCTACAAAAACAAGCAGTTACAAATTAACTCAATTTGCAGGCTGGTGATGTGAATCTAATACAATTGGGCATATAGTACTTTAGTCTTCGCCTCTAGAGGGTATATGAAATAGTTAACATATACTCAGATTTGATAAATCCAAGTATCTAACAGTTTTAACTCTTTACAAATCAAAGCAATCAAGAAATCTTTTGAATCAGCAATCACAGATCTCAATAATATCAACTGATCCTATAATTTTCCTGGACATAACAGTGATAGCCAAACTGCTTATTATTAAACAGTAGTCTGAAAATGCATGTGATACAAGTATTATGTATGTTTATTTGACAACCAACCCTCCATCACATCGGAAAATGCACAGGAAGCAATGAGCCATCCTACTACCTCCCACTCCTTCCACAAACCAGGTCATTACCTGGTCTGGAACTTTTCACACCCAAGAACTCTGGATTTAAGGTCTTGATCAATCCCAATTATCATGAAGCTGATAGGTAAAAGTTTTTAACTTTTGACTTTCTTTCTTACAGTTACTGTTTTATGTAGTACATGAAAATATAAGTGCCAGCAAGCCTATTGCTTCTTTGCTGGGGAGCATGTATGTGGGTGTAGCTGCTGTTAGGATAGAGGCTGATGTAGAAAGAGTTGAGACATTTCCACATAGAGATTCCTCACTCTGGACTATGAGAAGCTTATAGGATGGGGTAGAAGCTGAAACATTTCAGGCTGAGAAACATGGAGCTAGCATCAGTAGAAAGTACTTTATGGTTTGTTAATAATAGGTATATGAAGAATGCTATGGATATTTTTTAAATCTTGGAATTACTTTAGAATAAATAGAATTTATTGTTAACAAGATTTTCTCAAGTCTGCAAGATATTTAGGAGGATTCCTTTGAACCATATTTAAAACAAATGAAAAAATTCTCAAGGTTTCTTTTTTTTTTGCTACCAGGGATGGAACTCAGGACCCCGTGCTTGCGAGGTAGGTGGCAGAACCACTGAGCTAAATGCCCGGCCCTCAAGATTTCTTATTTACTTAAACTTACTTAAATAAAACCATAGTCAATAAGGTCTATAATTGGTCCCGAATCTTTTTTGAGTTTTGTACAATACAAATTATCAAATTATCTTTCTAAAATGAACTGTCTAAAAATCTACATATTTGCTTATATTCTTATTTAGAAATTCATTTACTTTGTATTCAATTTAGAAAGCATACTTTAGGATCACTTTTTTGTCCCCAATCAAAACAAAAAATATCTTATTATTTTAGTAGTTTGGTTACAGAAATTTATATGAACATTCCTAAAGCTTTGCGGCCAAAGCCAAAACAAAACAAAACAAAATCATAAAAGGGCAAAAACACGGGAAAGCAGATAGCAATAGCAGAAGCAGCAGCACAAAGCATGCAGCCAGGATAATAATACATCACACAAATGTTCACATGTTCTGCAATCACAGGCAAAGGCTAAGAGGCAGAGGGCATCAGGATGAGTACACACAGTGCAATAGTCTCTTACACGTCTGCCTTTGTTAGCTGGAGTACAGGATGGAGAGCGCTTCAACAGAGAAAGGAGAACACTGCGTTACAAAGATTTACACAGAGAAGACTCGCTGTGCCTACAATATTAGCAACATAAATCTATAAACACACATATGAAGCCACTTTTTTTGGATAGGCTGACAGCACATGTATTTTCAGGAAAAACTAGAGGATAAGACAGTTAAGAAACACTTGCTTAGACCAGGTTTAACGATGATGATCAATTGGCCCATGCACAAACAGTGACTCACAAAAAAACACTCCATCAAACGAGGGACAATTTCTTTTCCAGAAATGTTGGTAGCAGTAAACTAAAACATTTGACAACAACAACAAAAATCTAAATAATTCTTAGTGCTAGCAGGCATTTTATTAACTAGCCTTGTTTTATCCATTTACCTGCCAAATTCTTCTTTTCAAAATTGGTTCTTTAAATTTTAACAGCCAAATTAGGAACTCAGTATTGATAACAGATTAGAAAAAACAGTTACTTCAGCAATACTGTCCATCCTCACTAGACTTTAGCTTTAATCAAGAGTGACCTTCACCTTTCAGACACTGAAGAATTAAGCAATCAAGTGTTGGGGGTATAACTCAGCAGTAGAGAGCTCACATTTTTGAGGCCCTAGGTACAATCCCTAGCAGATGGGTAAATGGGAACTCTTTTATCTTTCCTATAGGAAAGTTGAATGGCCACGTGTCCCAAAGAGTTAATTGCAAACCAAGATGAAAAGACTCATACATTTCTAAACAAGTTTTTGTTTCTTGGTCTGGTCAGTTAGAGGCTAAAATCTCAGGATCAAACCAGCTTAATTACCCTGTTTGTTTATTTCCAGTACAGGGGATCGAACTCAGGACCTTGTATTTTTGAGGCAGGCATGGCGCCACTAAGCTAAATCCCTGACCCTATCCTGTTATTAATAGGAAGGCAGAACCTCTCTCTTCCCCTCTCATCTACAAAGCCAACCAACCAACCAACCAAACAAACAAACAATCAGTTCCCAATTCTTCCTCTATCAATCTCTTTCCCTAATAATCATAATACTTAACATTTGTCACATGTAGCATATATAAAGATACTTTCCAAAAATGCCTTCCATATATAACTCTTCTCATAGAAACCCTAATAAGGTAAGTATTATGATCCTTATGTTAAAGATGAAGAAAACAGATGAACTTGGCCAAGGTTTTAAAACTGGTTAAGTGGTGGTGCTAGAATTCAAACCTTCTCAGTCAGATTTAAACTTTCCTTAGAACAGAAGACAATCACTGCCTTCACTTTCTAATCTTCCAATTTACTTCTCAATCCAATTGGGCTTTTTTCTGCTTCATTCTGTTTAATGTGATACTGAGACCCTGAGCCCGATGATCTGACCAGCCACCTCTGGTTCTGAACAGTACCTCTTTAAAATCCCTCCAGTCCCTTAGTTCTGTGACAGGATGCTTTTTCCAATCATTGCTTCTCCTCCTCTTCTGTGGAGGCCTGTCCTCCTCCCTCTTCAATGCTGGAGATCTCAAGTGTCTGTTATGGGCTCACTGTTCTTCTCATGCTACTATATTCTCCTGAGCAGACAGCATCCACTCTCAACTATGCTGATCATTCCCATATCTCTACTGCCAGTTTGCTGTTCTTCTTCAAGCTTCTCACTCACATATCTGTCTGTTGGACATTTCCACATGGATGTTGTTTTCCAACTTACCTTGCCCAAAATGAAACTGTCACCTCACTTTTTTCCTGTTAAATCCTTCAGTGATTATTACACAGGGAGAGGTTAAATCTAAATTTCATAATACAGACTATAAACTCAATTGATTTTGGTCCCTGCTTAAATCTTCAAACTCGTTTCTCATCAATCCCTGAATATCATCCTTTTTGCTTTCACCAAACTGAAAACCTCCCTCTGTCCTCCCTACTCAGCCCTCCTCCCATACTCTGCCTGCCCACAATTCTGATCTGTAAAGATTCAACTCAGGCATTATTTCTTTTGGAAAGTTTTTCTGGATCCTTCCGGTCTAGTTAGACGTAATTCTCCTTTGTCCTCTCATATTTATTATTATTATTACCTGGATGGTGTGATAATAGTCTGTTTATATATTTATGTTTTCCACCAGGTTGTCAGATTCTTTGGGGTAGAAATGCCCTAATATGTTTGGACGAGAGCCTGTCAATTTCAAAACTTTCAGTAATGAAGAAACTGTTCATAACTTCCATAATAGTGACCCTAGGTGTTTCGCATGCCATTTATTGCTTTCTACATTGCATAGTTCCCAGCTATGTCATATTTTTTAACAATAAACATTTTGAGGTCTAGTTCTGCACCTAATTTATCTTTACAGCCACCACTGTGTATAATCTACACATGTAAAAAGTGTTAAAAGTTCAATATAGAGCAACCTTTAGGTTTTGATTCTTGACTAGTCTGGAGTGTGCTAAAACTATGAAAAAGATGATATCTCAAAGTAAATATATTATCACTATACTAAAAACAGTCCAAATATCTCTCAAAATTATCTTTGCCTAGGAAGTACAACATTTTCTAAGCTGGAATGACATAAAGCTAATAACATTAAATTATCTTATTAACACAGCAATAGTTTCTTACCAATGTGTTTAACAGAAAAGGGTTAATTATACTTTTCCTGAAATATGCTGAGGAAAACATTTGTCACCGCCTTCAAACATATACACACGCTACAGTTTTCTATAAATAATAAAACTGTACTTATAGCAAATAAGTTGACCCGTACCTTGTCTTAACAGTGAATCATGTACCACCTTAAAACATGTGTTTTATATGTATATGAACTGCCACCAGAACTTTAAGACTGAGTATAGAGGTAAGCAAGAAAACAGAAACCAACAAGTAATGAATCTTAAGGGCACATAATTTCGTTAAAAGTTTTTAAGGTTCAGTTAATAAATTCCAGCAGTCTTATTTAATAAAATACCAAATAAGGAAGAGATAGTCAATGCAGATATAGTTTCTTCCCTCTATATAATCTGAATATATTATATCATATAAAGTATATAATAAAAATATATACAAATATATGCACAATAATATACAGGTTGAACATCCTTCATGTGAAAATCTGAAATCTGACAGCTGAAAGTTTTTGGGTATCAGAGGATTTTGGATTGAACAAATAGTCCTAAATCCAGAAAATGCCAACATCAAATACTCCTGGTTCCAAGTATTTTAAGTAGATAATCTGTTTCGCCTCAAATGGGGAAGTACTATATATGTGATAATTTTCTGAAATATGAGATCTTCAAGTTGGATTGTGCTGAATACGTGGATGGAAATTTTATTCTGTTCCATTCTTTTGTTTCGTTTTGCTTTTTGGATGGAAAGCTTAAAAACAAGCAGCAGAGGAGGACATTTCAGGAATGCCATAATTTCTCAGAAGGAGCTAGTCCTGATTTTGGTCATAGGAGTAAAGAAATCTTTACAACAGAGGTTTTACAATAGTCTACTGATTCTCATGATTATTACCCTTCCCAGAAACAGCTAGAACTCTGCTCTTAAATCTCAGATCATCATGATTGGTTATAAGAAATGTAAAAGAGGCTAGGAAAGAACAATGGTAAAATCAAGAAATGAAAGAAGGAGGGAGACGCCATGACTGAGATTAAATATTCTGGGACATATTAGTAAGATTATATATGAAAATAAAACCAAGTTGAGAACTCTGCCTGCTCAGCTTTCTTATATGCTTGAAAAGGAGAAAGGGCAGCAATATGAGGTAGACCAAGATACAATCTTTCTTCCATGTCTGACCTTTACAAACCAAGTTTTAATTCCTTGATTTATTCTTTGCTTGGTATACTACAGTAAGAAAACTTACAGAAAGCAAGTCAGAGTACATTTTCATTTGCCAACGAACCAAGCAATTTCCATTTTTGTGAACTGAAACCAAACTGACAAAATGTAAACTTATAATTTAATAGAACTCAAAACTTACCTAGCAAATATATGTGACAATATGTTTATCAAATATAAAGAATACATAGGTCGGAGTCGCACAGAACACGCCAAATCAGCCCGCTGCATACAGGCAGGTCTGTGCATGCCCTACTGAGGTCCTGAGTCCCACAGAACATGCCCAATCAGCCCGCTACAGACAGGCAGGTCTGCCCATGCCCTACCGAGGTCCTGAGTCTCACAGAACACGCCGAATCAGCCTGCTGCAGACAGGCAGGTCTGCCCATGCCCTACTGAGGTCCCCAGTCTCCTGGAATATGCCGAATTAGCCCGCTGCACACAGGAAGGTCTGTGCACACCCTACCGAGGTCCTGAGGCACACGGAAGACACCGAATCACCCCGCTGCAGACAGGCAG